TTGCACCCCTCATAATTAATTCCCAGGGGATTAAACATTCTAAAAAACATGGTGATTGTAAAGCATAGACCTAGCAGCGGAGGGTCCTGAATTTCTGTCTTCCAGATCTGCCCCCTTCACGATGCCAAGGTTTATTCTGGGAGTTTCCCTCTCTAAACACCCTGCCTGAGAAGTGACGCTCAAGACACTCATGTAACTGTGATTTTGGGAACGTTCCTGACAGAAACAGTCTATTTGCAGCATGACCACCCAATTCTGATCGAAGAAGGAACCTAAACGGTAGGAAGGAACTTGTGGAATGGCTATTGGAAAACCAAGACAGGGACGAATTCCCACTTGCCAAAACTCAGCCAACGTTGATTTCTGTCCCAGGAAAATCCTGCTTCATAATTTTGTATTGCAATTCTTGTACAAAGAAGCAAGCTCTTTTCATGCAGGAACCAGTCTACCAAATACAACAGCATAATTTCTACATTCACTTTTCCAACTATAAGGGCAAATTTCAATGTCATCTGAGGTCCAAAATCCCCAGATTCACCCAGTCCATCTACAATGCAACACTTGCCCTGAGCTGCCAGCCCTTCCCCAGTCCGGGACATGCCTCGCTGTGCTCCTTTTGGCTGGGCAGTGAAGTGGGTTTTAGCTCTGGGGTATCCATTCACAAAGAGACTTCATGAAAGCAATAATTTGATCTTCCCACTACACTTCCATGAAGTAGCAAGAGAACAAACAAAGGGAAAATAGAAAAAAAAAAAAAAAAGGAAATAAAAAAGCAGCATTTTTACATTCTGGCCAAAGATACGGGAGCCTCAAAAAGCTAAAGTTTTACAACTGCAGCACAACATAAAAACTACTACCTCAAAGGCTGCATTTTATATCCCCTCACGCTTGCTTCTGCAGAAGAAAAATGACCTCCTAATTCAGGTTCATTTAAAGTGCAGCTGCTCATCAAGACCTATGAGGAATTTTCATTTGTGCGGGGGAAAAAAAAAATCTTTCCTGTCCATGGGTGGAATTTATGTCAGATCTATAATGCAATAGGCTTGACACTCCATCAAACATTTCCTATTTAAGCCGAAAGGGGACTTAGCCAAATCACTTATATGCCTATGTGCTTGATTTGCAAAGAGAGGAGCCTGCAGACGCAGTGGGCAGGAGAGCTTGGAATAAGTTCTGGGCTCCTGAAATGCTCCTCAAGTCACCCAGCCATGCTGAGAAGGTGAGATCYCCTGTAAAATATCTACAAAAAGAGGTTTTTGTGAAGAGTTCAGATTTAGTGAGCTCAAAATGAAAAGGAGGGAATTTTAGCTGTGGATTAAGCCGAAGCCCTGACCCAACAAACAGGAGCACAACCTTTTTTAGTATTTATTCATGCCCTCGTGGCAAAATCCCACATGTCTGAAAAATGATCTCTCTTTTTCATGAAACAGAAGATGGCGTTTAACAGCTAATTATAATGCCACTGCAGAGATATACTGAATGGGTGAAATGCTAGAGGAGAGGCCTCCTTTTAGCATGGGGTCAAAGTCAAGAGAAGACTCTCCCTTCGCCCGTTCTCTGGGCGAGAGCCAACAAATAATTTAAATGCTAACATTGCCTGAGGGCAGCAGGAAACGCCAGCTCTGSAACTATCATCTCAGCCTTCCTCCTTCAACCTTCTCGCTCCGCAGATGTCTAAAAKGCTTCCCAACCCTTCCGAATCCGTGTCTGTGCAGAGGGGCAGCCAGCTCTTGGCCATGGCACAGGGAATAGGGTGGCCTGAGGCCCAGGGGAACACCACCACCAGCCTTCCCTTCTGAACTGCTGCAGGAAAACAGATAAACAGAAGACATTAAAAAAAAAAAAAAGGAAAATAAAAATCACAGAGCTAGAAAGAAGGAGTAGGAGTCTCCAAGTCAACARTGGAGGAAGTCATAGGGATGAGCCTATCGAACTTCATGTATCCTGCTTTTTAACAGGTCTTCTGGAGAGCCCGGGATGGATTTCTCCAGGTCTCTGCTGTTTCCTCCGCTTGGAATCATCCAGGATTGTTGTTAGAGAGTTATGCGTTGTTTGAAGGAATGAGATACCAGACTGACAGGCATTTAATAAACAGGGGAGCAAAGTAAACAGTAGTTTAATGGCTTTAAGTCATGATGAATCCATTATTTATCGCCCTATTTGTCACACAGCACACGTCAACATTTCTTGAGACTAAAAGAAATAATTAATTCTGTATCTCAGGCTGAGGAAAGTAACAATTATTCTAACATGGGAATTTGCTAAGAGCCTTTTTACAGCTGCAATGTCCCCAAGTGGGGTATAATTAGCAGATGTGGTCCAGAAAGCAATTTGTTCAGCTGGTTGGCAGACAGCTCGCCCACCTTTGTTGGCAGGTTGATTCAAATCAAGAAATTCATCAAGAGCTCTTAAAAGCTAAAAAAAAAAAAAAAATTCTCCAAAATTTCCTTTCCATAGGAAGGAATATCTTAGCCATACTACTACGGCTAAGTTATCATGCTCATGGGTTGTATTAAGTTTGCAGAATTACTGGAAGAAGGCAGGGCTGTTTCTTAGCTTCTTTTTTTTAATGCCTTCCCTCCATTCCCTTTAACCTTCCAGTAGAATTAAAAAGGTAGCTGCTCTCCCATTTTAAGTAAAAAGAAGAGAGATGGGGGCTCCAGGGGGAAGGAATTCAAGAGTGGATACTGAAAGATCAATCTTGTTTTGAGTATCTTTTAACTAGCGTAAGGCCACAAAGCACAGATTTACTTACTGCTGAGAAGCCAGACAATTATTCAGCTAACATGCATTCAGTGCCTGCTTCCAAAAGATCCCCAAGCTTCAAAGCAATAAAATCCTAAGTGCTAGGGGAAATATTTGAAATTTGTAATGAAAAACTCTTGAAATGTAAGTATAAAACACTGGGGAAAGTTATAAAATTAAGAAGTTTTTATTCTGGCTTTTGTACAAGTATTCATATTTATTGAAAATTGCCCCTAACACAGACGACCACCAATAACCAGTAAACCAAGACAGTCGCACTAATGACCTCCTTCTAAAGCTTCTAAGCTGCTTTTAAATATTATATGAACCAAACATGTGCTTTAATACAGGCAAGTGAGCATGTACAGGGCCAGAAACAGTTCTCCATCTGCCTGGAGGCACGAGTACAAGTTAACGCTCAGAAAACAAACTTTTCTAGAAAGAACTGGTAGGGGGAATCAGTCTGGCTAATGGCTACAGGATGCTCGCAAGAACAGGAGAAATCATGCAGAGAGAAAAAGAGTGAGCTCCTGACAGCACAAAATAGCAGGAGGAAGACCAGAAATGAAGATACACAAAATTCCAAGAGGAAGAAATTGCAATTTTAAAATAGGGAACACAATCATTTCAAAGCCATGAACCGTCCAGCAACCAGTTTTCATTTTTCACCATACAAATTTCCATTCCTTTACTTGCCATAATACAGAGCACTGACATGTTCAGTGCTAAATTTTGCCTAATAACCAAGTCCTATCCCTTGCACCTTCTACAAGAAGGTCACTCCTCCAAAAAAGACAACTTTATCAGGATGGCAGGATTATTTATGGAGTTAGCAACATGCTCCCACTCTCCCTCTTTCTGTCCCTCCCCTCCGTCRTAATGATTAAATGGGAATCCTGATTGATTTACAGGACAAACAGCTCTGTTGAGGTCGCTATGCTTCCTCATGAGAGTAAGAGAAGCACAGCTGGACTCTCATAAAGTCAAACGCTGTGTACATAACGGTGAATGGACTCTATTATATATAAATATAATTCAGCTGTACTATTTGGCAAAAGTATTTTTCCAGCAAATAAGGATTTATCTCCTTCTGTCTGCTGTCAAAAACTGGATTTCTTACTGATATACTGCCAGCGCGGGTACTTGCAGTAAAAATGCGGAGGGTTTTTGGTAACTCTCTTGCTGCAAAGATGGAAGTGACCAATGTTCTAGGGGAAGGAAACTACATTCTGAAAGACAGATCACAACAGGAAGAGTAAAGCTGAAAGCTTAAAGGTTCTTCGGGCCAGACGGGGTATTAGTCAACCTAATGGAGTAAACAGCTAAAATGAAACACCAACCTGCAAATTCCTTTTTTTTTTTTTTTTCTTGTTTTTTTTTTTTTTCCTGCCTTAGCGTCTCTCATTGCTACTCCATCAAACGGCATCACTGAAGGAATTCTTAAGTGAAGAACAACTCTAGCATTGGGCTGATTAGGATCCAAGCACACACCATATATATTACGCTCATGGTCTCAAGAAACGAAGGCAGGTGTTGGCGAGGCTCAGCCTCCGTCCCCTGCCTTGCCCCACATCCCCAAGCCTCCCCATGCTGGCTCAGCTGGAGACGTGCACTCCTGCCACCAACACGTCTGCAAGCAGCGACCGTGGCCCGTTCATCCTCCTCTGCTTGATCCCACGGAGCCAATGAACCAGTGCTCCACTACAGCCATATATAACCATTTAATCAAACTGTGGAAATAGCCTGCAGCTTCCATCAGAAGCGGCACTCTTCTATGACCATTCTTTTTTAAAATATTTTTTTTTCCTCTTCCTTGCATACTTGCTATTTAATTTTTAAGTACTTTGCACACTGGAGTGAATTGCAGTCAGTTCTTTTCCAGCATACATAAATAGTCTTTTCATTATCAAAAAGGCAAGCCTCGAAACAAGAGTCAAGCATTTGGCACTGCTTCAAGTTACTGTAGCACAACAGGAACCTGGAAACAAGACCAAATGATTAATTTGGCATCTCATTTATTTCATTTTCATCACTTACTGGTTAACTCTGATTTCAAGCTATTGCCTTGTCCTGAATTTTCATTCCAGATTGTCAGAATGAAATATGGGATTATTACCATAAAACCGCACGTACCCACTCCCCATCCTGTGAGCGCTTGAAGATATTTTTCAGGGGACGGAACTGCCTCGTGCTCCGTGTCTTTTCCTTGCGGCGAAAAGACTCTGCTCCCCCAGACCTTCCCGCCCTGTCCTCACCTGTTTGGGCCAGGAGCGGCGTGTAAGGGACTTTCGGCTCTATTGCACTCATGGGCGGAGGTAGCAAGGGGTTGGCGAAGCTGCGCAGCGGGTGCGTGGGGCGCACGCACGCCGTGGGGATCGTCCTGCTCGGGGCGTCCTCGCCGCTCGCGTGCTCGGGCTGCGCCGGCGGCAGCAGCGACGGCTGCTGCGACGGGGGCGCTTCGCTCACGGCTGCAAGAAAACAGCAAAAAAACAGTAAGCCGGAAAGCCAAGAATTATTATGGAGGTGATTTCGAAGACTTAGTCCCTACTTTTATGACCATGTGCAACAGAAGCTGTAAAGCATTAGATCTGCGAGAAGGGTGTATACGTTTCCATCAAAAGTTGCTGGCAGATGAATTAAAAAACCAGATGTTGCTCAGAGCAGCCGCGTGCCACTTGATGTGCAATACATCTTTCCTTAAAAAAATGCAATCGTGACATCTTCATCTTCCTCTCGCTATTTCATTTTTATTCAAACTTCTTAAGCTCCCAGCGTCATAAGATCTGGGTGCTTTTAAATATTAAAAATCAGTAAGCCCATAAATACATCAGTGAAGACCGAAACAGCCTAAAACTAAGGAAACTCATTGTGTTCTGCGTGATGGTTCTATTCTAGTCACCACAGAGAAGAGCTCAAGATAAAGAAAGGACGCAATTAATTTCTCCATAACCAATCACCAATATTGTTCTTCCTCGAGACAGCTGTAACATTTAGTGTGCCAAAGCAGTAGGTTGCTATTTTATTAGTCTATATTCAAAGTCAATTCTTCTGAGATTTAAATATGCCGTGTCAACCCACTAATCCAAAACGTAGCTACGTTGTGCTCTGCAGCACTTCTTAACAACTCTGCTGTGGCAGAAGAGAGGAGCAAGCATAGCTGAAGTATTACAGAAAACCAAGTGAGAGGCAAGGAGAAAAGCCCTTTATTTCTATAGCTCTCTGGAAACCCATGCTGCATCATAACTATTAGTTGCAAAATGCTCATGATTGTATGGGAGTTTCCAGCACGGAGCAGCTGAGTGTCTATTCCTAACATCGCCAGCATTGCGAATGCACCTACAGAAGAGGACGACTGGTGCCTTCTAAGTGACCTGTGGTGTACTCACACCCATCAGATGACAAGTCTTCTAGTCCTGCAGTCCAGAGCTAGGGCATCTTCCATGGAGAGGAACATGAAGGACGTTTGCAGAGGAGGAGGGCTATTAGAAAGAGCAAGCAGCTCGGCATGCACCAACACGTGCAGAAGTGTTGGACAACTCTACTAGGAGATACCACTCTACGTTGTATCTCCTGGCATTGCATTTGGGGTTACATTGCCATTTCTCTTCCCTGGCACTGTTCTTTACCTTTAATGATCTTTAATGATCAAGCAGAYGAAGCCCCCCGCGCTGCTCATACAAGGAACAGACCACGATATTCAGACTTGAAAAGTAAAGACAGAAAATCGACTTCCAAAGGCAAGAGGTTGTTTTGAYCTTGAAAGGAAAATTGCAAGAGTCTCAAAAAATTCTTCTTCACCACTGTGTCTACCCTGACAAGCCAACTCTAATTAGTTACGGGGAGCATGGTGAGCAGAAGTCTCTGCTGCAGAGCCCTATGGATGACAGCAAGAAATTCCCTTCTCTGTGCCCTAGTGTGGAGGCGTCCGCTTGTAGCACTGCTTGTTCCTACCCCTGGATGAGAACATGGGCACTGGGTCAAAAGCATCATCTCCTGATTCCTCTTCCAAATCCTATGCCAGGAACTCATTTGAGGCTTCCCAAGAACACGGCTTGTGGCCTTTCCCAGCTCATTCCCCAGCTCCTGGCCTCCTGCCCTGAGGAACAGCACTGGAAACAGCTTTCCATGTGGGAAGAGCATCTGAGCTTATTGCAAGCGTAACAGTGGAAAGAAGGGAGAACACGATGACAACAGGAACTGCTTTGCTTTGGGCATGTTGGATTTGTCCAACATCTTCACAGTATTTACTCCAGCCACTATAGCTCATAAGCACAACAGTTAATCATGCAACTTGTGGCAGGAAAACAGAAATCTAGGAAAAAAATCATCCTTTTACCGAAGGAAACAACCTTCCTGACACATAGATATAGGCATTAGTTATTATACTGGGACCCAAAACGCTCCAGAGGAGTTGGTTTCTTGCTGCAACAACCAGAACTCCTTGTATAAATAACATGCAATTACACAGCCGAGTCAAATCTCAAGGCATTTTATAATAATTAATGTCAAAGTATATAAGTAATTACAACCTACTAAGTGGCAAAACAATTTTGAAAAATGGAAATGAGGATTTTTCCTCATTTCCGCAACCCCATTACTTGTTTCTATGGCAATAGTGCAGACATCCCTGGCAATACTGAACTCCACTCACAGGAAACTAACTATGGGACTCGACCAAGGTCAGAATCATTTATGGCTTGGAGAAGTTGGCTAGACTGTTTGTTTTCACCTTCAAGGCTCTTTGCACCGTCAGGCTGTTGCTCCACYTCTGCTTTTCCATCTCCTTGCCCAGCGTGCTCGTGTCTGTTTTCTTTTCTGCATGTCCTCTTAGGTCTACGTTTGCTTAAGGAGGCCAGCGCTCGCCTTACAATAGTCTCCACAAAATATCCTTCTTGGTATCTTCTGCAATGGTGCTACAGATAAGAGAACTTTAGGAGCTGGCATCACTGTAATGGTCTCCACATTATAGGATCCAGTAAAATGACCGGATTACTGTATGGATATTTTACCTTATAGACTTAGCTGTAAAATCTGGAGCCCTACATAATTGTTATTACATGAAAAACATCACGCTATCCTCCAGCTATTATAGAAGACAAAGGTGAGATGATTCTATTAAAATGAGAAGCTAGAGTTGGGTTTTAAATATTGAAGGCAAGTGGTGTAATGAAAGTGGTTCACTCCTGAGAAGACTCTTTTTTTTTAAGAAGACGTGCATGCTTGCAAGCCTAATGAGAGCCATCAGTCTGCAGTTCCCTCAGGTGCCTGCGGGACAAGGGGATGGACTATTTGTCTGAAGGATGAATGAAAATGAGGACATTGCTAATGCTACCTGCACCATCCACATCAGTTTCCTGCTTAACCGGTAGGCAGGTGCCTTCACAGAAGAGTCAGAGAATTCTGATTATTTGCACTGATCCACTTAATTAATTTTTCAGTAGAAACCAGACTTACAGTTGACCTTTGGGATGAAGCAGATACTGCTGTGCTACAGACCTCTTATGATCTTTTGCTCTTGAATTTAGTAAAATATTTTGCCAAAGTTAAGGAAATAATAYGCTATACATGAAGATCTCTTCTAAAGTCCAGTAAATCCAGTAAGAATCTTTCACTGCAGTGGAGAAATGATGGATAAAGTACTATTTGCATTTATTTTATGTCTAACCTAGAAATGCTAACTGATAATGAGCTTGCTTTCAGTTCAAGGAGCAATGAACTTGCTGGTGACCAAGYAGAAAAGCAGATAACATATACTGGTCTTCTCTTTGCTTTTGCATATTTGTTGGTTGGCATGATGCATTTAACCAGTTTGATGACTTCAGCTTATTGGGCACGTATATCTTTTATTGCGTAATAACTCAGGGACATAGTCCCCCTTGGATTTGTAGCTGTTGGCTCTACCTCAGTCTGAGGCAATGAGAGATCAATACAGACTGAAAACAAAAGGTAATAACAATTCAAACTATACGACAGTGCATTATAACATACCAGCTCTGTGCCAACTTCCTATAAATCCTTGAATTCACACAGATTATAAATATTGCGCGACCAAGATGATATATTTATATAATGCTGACAAACTAGGGACCCCGTTCCTGGTGGAATAGGGTCTTCAGGGGTAGCTTAAAAACAGAAGTCTGCTGGCTGTGAAGATGTTGTCAAGACGTGACCAAAACATGTTCTGCCTAGCATGTCTGTATGGGGACGGGAAGGAAGGACCTACTAGTAAGGATAACAGCAGAGCTCGTGCTAGCRTTTTGGGATCTCTCCAAGACCAGCAAGGTCTCCTCAATACCTYCCAGGTGGGAGCTCTTTTCCTGCAGCTCTCTTCCTCTCACCCCTGAGACCATGAAGCATCCCACTGCTGTGGCAAAGCAGSAAAAAGAGTCTTCTCTTTCCCTTCTAGCGTACTGTATCCTTCTTCCTTTCCTTTCTCCTTCTTGTACTGCTGAAATTGCTAGCAGCGGGTGCCGTGGAGCTGGGAAGGCCTCTGGAGCAAGAGGCTAACAGCGGGACGGCACGCTGAGCAGAGAGCACTCACTTTATTACGGCACAGACACTTTGTGTGTCTGGAAAGATGGAAAAATTGATATTTAGCAATTGTATTTCCCGGCTGGCAGTGCCATCAGCAGTATTCAAAATGACAAGTCAGTTTATTATTCAAGGCCAGTTCTGGCTAGGGCCTGACTCTCCTTTTCATTTCCTTTAGTTTCCTCTTCAGCAGAAAACTTGGCCTAAAGRTACGCTGCAGCACTTGACTCTTTGGGGTCAATGAGAAATGGATTTCAGAACAGAAGAAGGTGTTGAAGCATGGGCTCCATGGCAGGCTGCAAAGCAACACCCCTCCTAATGGCATCGCCTATGATTTATTCAAAGACCGCCACRTTTTGATCAATCGGGTGTACAGTCATGTAGCACTGCAGGTAGAGTCTGTCCCACAGGAATTATTGCACGGGCCGCTTTTTTTTCTGACACAGTTGCAATTGCTCAAGCATCAAGGGAATTTTTCACGGAGGGGTAAAATGCACCCAGAAAAGCCTCATGCATCTTCTCGATGGGCTCTCTCACTGCGAGCTGCTCGCACAAAAACCCACATGATCATGAGGAGAAAACAGCCCACCCTGAACGAAAAGGAGCTTGCGTGTGAGAGAATGCACAACGGTGGAGTCGTTTCGATGATCTATGGCCACTCGCCGCTGCGGTGAAGTCATCCATGAGACGATGGAGACACGGAGCAGCTGCTGCTTAATCTCRGGAGCGGATGGGAATTTGCCAGTGACAGTTCTTTCGGACAGCCTGACGCTGCCAGTGCTGGCACCAAGCAGCAGCAGCAGCTCTGGCGCTGGGAAAAGCTTTAGGCATCCTGTTATAGATGTATTTTTCTATCCCTTCATCCCCACGCAGAGTGACAACTAATGATTTCTGCTATCACGGGAAGGAGCGAGCTGCTGCCTGGCTCTGACAGCAGCAACTGTCACCAGAAAACAAACACTGCCTTTCCTGGCGTGTCCCCTCGCTTGATTGCGACGCTCTGAAACGGGAGGCACAGCGAAGGAGGGGAGGATTTCACCTGGCGGGGACAGCATGACCCAGGGGCTTTGGAAGAGCCCAGAACAGAGAGGGTCRCTGCAGTGATTACACCGGATTCTCATTTCCTGTTGTAGCGGGGTAGGTAATTTTGAAATACTATAGACTTGATTACGCAGAAATTACCTGAAATGAGGCTGTGTCCACTGCTGTCGAGTTATTTAATGAGAAATTCCTAAATTATCGGAAACCTTCACTACTTGAACTTACTCAAGGTCCACCAGGGTTTCTGAAAAATGAGTATTGCTGGGTATTTAACCTCCTTCCAGAAAACTTTTGCGTATTAATCATCTTCCAGTCAGTTCCCAAGCATTCAGCACTTGAAAGATTTAGGCAATTACACACATTTCTGTACASAGCGTACATTGGGAAGCGTCAGGATCTCTGAATATCATCACTCGCATCCAGGGAGGGCTCTGGCATGGACAGCTTGACCAAATCATTACTGAGAGAAAAACTCTTCTATAAGACAGTTCAGATACTGACCAAGGGACCACGGGGTGCTGTACCTGCCRGTCTGGGGAGAAACCTGCCACCGAAGACGCCACTTAAAAGGCACGTCTGTGTGCAGATGTACTTGATGGGCTAAAAGCTGAGMCACGAGGAGCTGCAGGCTGAAGAACCTCAGCTCCCTTTACACGGAGGTTGAAATGATGACATCTGAGCAGATAAACACCCAAGGGAATGAAAACCACTGAAGATCCTCTTCCAGCAGGTCCTGCGGGGATGTATTCTGCCCTTTTGAACCGTGCTCTACAGAGGAATGAAGAATGGCCATTTCTACGCTGCTGTATGTTTATTCTTCATCACCCTGTGACATGTGACACTCTTTACTAACTACAMTTCCGCAGAGAGTACTGCTGAGTGTGCTTTAGATGWGCATCAAACTTACCGTTTTTTTTTWAAATTGTTTCAGAAAAAGACCAAACAATTCAGTGTACAATTTCATTCCCATCTCTATGAATAAGCACAGGACAGTTAATTTCTTATTCAACATCTAGTGCATGTCAACCAAAATGCCTGAATCTACTTTTTTTTTTTTTTTTTTTGTGCATCACATTTGTGGTGAATTTGATATTAATTTAAGCAGCAAATCAAAAACTCATTATGCCAGCCTGGCCCTCCAGAGGAAATTGCCATCTAGTTGTGAAAGGATTTCAGTCCGCACATCAACATGAGGGGAAACGACAGTGGGGTGATGAACAGAACACCCAAAACCACCTTTTACCTACGATCCCTCTGCTCAAGTTTCAATCATCGGCCCCCAAGGACCTGTCTGAACTCACTGAAAGCAGCAATCAAATAGGAGGAAAAATCAGTCATTTTGAAATTATTTCCCTGTGGACCAGCAGCACAGACTCTCTGTGATGCGAAAAAAAAAATGTGTAGCAGATTGACATTAATCTGTCAATAATTCAGGCTTGATATGCAGTAGAGTTAAGGGAGAATGATAAGAAAATATGAGCCCTCCAACTATAATTAATATGCCAGAGCACATTCATTAGGCTAGAACAAAGAACAGATGGCTGCTGGTGCAGAAGATGCTTAGAAGTAACTTATGAAGGTGAGGCTGGGGAACGTGCCGTGTGCTTTCCATTTTCCTGGATCATGGCAAGTTGAAGAACAGATTTGGGAATGCACAAAACCCAAATCCATTATTGTACAGGAGCAAATATGAATATAGAACTCACTCTAGAGAAGAGACAACTGATGTGAGACAAGATAGTAGTATTCAAATGTACAAAAAGTAGCTGCAAGAAAGAAAAATATGAAACGCTCCAAGAAAGAAAAATATGAAACGCTCCACAACCACTGTAATCAAAACAAGGAACAATCAGATTACATTTTAACAAATTAAATATTAGGAACTAATGTTTCTAGTAGCAAGAGCAGCTAAGGCTGGGAAGACACTTAACAGTGTGATAACACTGTTACACTGATAAGTGTTATCATGGATGCTTTTAAAGAATGATGATACTAGATTCTGCCTCGGGATGAAGAAGAGCTATTAGAGTCTCTCTTCTTCTCAGAATATCCTAGTGGATAAAGCAAAGGAGATTAAAGTATGTGAAAYGACTCAAAGACTTGCATAAAAGAAAGGATCAAATTAGATCAGGAATAGTTGCAGGTTCTAGGAGGACAGAGCTTTCACTACCCAAATGACATGGGGTGATAGCAGGATCTATTACACAGGTTGACTTGACTACTTGAGTGAGWCCTTGAGCCAGACTACTGAGCCAGACTACTTGAGTCCTGGTCTCCGTAAACCTTGGTTATGTGCTACCAAATTGCTGTGGATGCTCCTGAAGCTTATGTGGCCTGGGAGGCATCAGTTCCCTCAGCCATGACCACATTCCTCTCCACATTCCTCTCTTAAACTGCCTGGAAACTGCGCAGCAAGCCCACTGGGAAGCTGCAGTAACTTCTAACTTCTAACCTAAATTGCTGTGCAATATATATTATAATATATATCTAGTAGCTACTAGAGCTGACTGGACAAGAGGCAGCCTGTCTTCACTTGCTGGTACCCAACCACCATTCTGAGGACAAAAAGCCACCAGGTTCACCCATTCCCGGGTATTTTCACAACAAAGACCACCAAAAGCAAAGGGCTGTACTGACTTCTTCCCGTTCCAAAGGTCCTGTCGACGGAGAGCGTTGGGAAGGGCACAGGCCGAAGGGTGAACTGGGGATGTGGGTATCCGCAGGTGGGAGACGGCAGGATCCCGGGGTACTGGGCACTTTCTAGTGTTGGCACTGGAATGGCACTGACCACAGCTAAAAGAAAAGAAGGAAAGAAGAGATTAAAGGAGTGTCTTTGCAAAGTTCTAAAAAGCACTGATAGGGTCAAAATGAACCAGAAATAACCATGTTTCCAAAACAAAGTTTCCATAGATTCACTACAAAGTGTATTTCTCTGCTCACTCTACCCAAGCCCGAAGAAACTACTTATGTAACAGAAATGGGCATCCTACAGGTGCAAATTACTTGCAAAATTCAACAGCTGTTTTGCTTACATTCAATTTAGGCAGCTGTATTTGGGGCTCCTTTATTTGCCTTCTTAACAGACAGATGGGAAGCAATGGGTTAGGCAAAAATGTAAGAGCTTGATTTGGATGCCTCAGCCCAGGCCGTTGGTGCCACTTGAGATGCCTTCGGAGATCTCGCAGCCTTCAGCTGCTGCTCTGGAAGAGCACAGGGCTCCTCTGGCCCACACGAATCCTTTGATGTGGAAACCAGCATCACAGCTTGCCAAATTCTGGCTTTCCTGTGAATTACCCTTTAGTCAGGGCAGGAAAACTTGCTGGTATTTGGTAAAGTATTTGCTGTACTATATCAATCATGAATTTCTGTGTGGCTTTTAGGAAAATCTCTTAGGAAAGTTTTGCCTGGATAAACAATACAAAGAGATTTTTTGGCTCATCAATAAGTTTAGGCTTATATAACACCTTTCACATATGAATTACAAACAATGCCATAAACTTCAAGACAGTCATTATAATTACTTCCATCTCTTAGTTACATCCGTTACAGGGAGCAGCAAACCAGGCAATGTGCCCAAAGTCACTCAAGAAGCAATCATAGTGCCAAGGCTTTGGCAGGGGGAGGAGGTTAAAACATGATTTTCTGGGACAAAATGCTGTATTTCTAAATCTATTGGTCAAGTACMTACAAAACTCATGATGAACTGATAACTGGAGTGATCTGAACCTCAAAGCTCCTTGGGTTCAACCCACACAGCCTCATAAGAGGATGTTTCCTCTGCAGGCAGTTMATTTGGACTTTGTAATGTGCTTTTATTGACAGTATTTATAACTTCGTTACTAGAGTAAAAAATATCATTCTTTATTGAATCCTATTAAAAATCTTTTTTCTTTTTTTTTTTTTACGCCAATTCCTTCATTTCTTTGTGCTGCATAGACACCTAGTACTTTCTTTTTTTAAAATAAGTCAGAATTATTATTCACTGCAGTGCTCTATTGCAGGGAAGCTGGGGAAAAGTTAACATCAAACAGTTTCAATAAATCTTTGCAGTTCTGAGCATATATGACAGCAAATCTGTTCTGTCATAGTCTGTCAGCAATTGAATTTATATGTACTATTGATATACTAAGACACTAAAAACAGAAATTCCCTGACCAAATCATGGAGCTCCCAAAATGCTGTTCTACATCTAAAGTATACTACATCATGTAAAAATGCAGCACCCAAGAACAGCTTACAGAAATGACAAAGTAGAAAATTTTAAATTGTACTCAAGCACCCCAGAGGCTGCCGAAGCTGTGGAGTCACCACAATCATATTTCTCCTAAAGACAGAGTTGTGATTTTCGGCAATTTGAGGGAGAGGAAAACATAGAAAATAAATAAAACAACTCCCAGAAACACAGGCAAACTCTCTGTTATGGGAGGAAAAGGACCAGTGCTGATGAGAAGGCTTCAAGCTTTCCTTGTCCTTGAGGTCTTCTCCTCTCCACCCAACAGCCTTGGTACATCAGGCCATGACCACGAGGTCTGATAAATGCACTGGCTGTGCAATTACAAGATTTCCCAGCTATTTTAGTTTCATCCTTGCATGGGTTACCTTCATGGGAGAGAAAGGCATTGACTCTGCAATCTTAACAGGGCCTCAAGCCCCCCTGAAATGGCCTTTAATTCTCTCCATCAGACTTAGAGGCAGAATTGGAAGTAGATTCCAGAATTACAATCATATTGCTCTTACAGTKGAATTAGAAGTGTCAAAATTATCACTAAGGCCTGTTTTATACTTCTTCCACTTTACTAAGCAAAGGCCCGTTATGGGGTTATATATTTTTTCCCAAAGACAGCAAATAGTGATTATTTGAGATGTTGATGAATACTTCTAGATTTGGTACTGAGCATTTAAAAGTATGGGTTTTATACTTCASAATTATGATGGTGCTTCTTCAAGCTAGTTAATAGCTTATGGCTGACAATTTCTTTCAGTATCCGGCAAACTGAGAGAGATTAATTAGAGCATATAACCTGACAAAACCTCGATTTTCTTTTCTGGGAAAAGCCTGAAACGTACAAATAAAACTTTTACGAATCTGAGTTCAATTATTTCCAAACAATCATAATATTGTGGTTCCATAGATTAGATTTATACTATAGATTTATACTGTAGAAAATAGAAAAGAGGGCATCATTACTCAAAAAGCATCTTTGACTGAAAAACCTAGAAATCTTTAAGAGTATTTTCACCCCTGTGCTGCAGAACAACGCTGACTTGACTCCCACTTAACTAACTGTGCTATTGAACCACTGTAATTACAATTAATTTGCTTTTGATTTTGCTTACAGCACTCTAAGTGTATCCATTTTCTTGGATTGCTGCTCTCCTTGAGACCAAGCCAAACCAGGAAGAATCCCATTCAAAAAAAAAGGGCAAATTGCCTGATTGTGAGATTAGCGTGGTTACAAGTTGGGAGTATCTCCTAGGGAAAGAGCTTTCTTCCCCCAACCCCGCAGCCCTCTCCCAGCCCATAAACGGAGGGCAGCTGRAATGAGGCAACATGTTCAATCCATGGCTTGAGGAATCCGACGCGGATGTCTCCCCAGCCTCCTGTCATTCACCCTCTAAAGGGCTGGTTACTTGGGAATTCGCAGCATGACCCAAACTGCACCCACCGCGAACACAGATTAAAGAACAGTTACCAGCTCCTACCCGGTAATTTACTAAAGAAAGGCATGGGAGGTTATTCCCCCTCCTCTACTTCATTCAATTCCATGTATTTTTTTTATAATATATAATTTGTGCTGTGCCCTTCCACAAACCCCGCCATAGGTACTTAAATATAACTATCAGAGATAGTTTGAGATCTCTCTTTAAAGAAATTTTGTGAGAAAAAGGATTTCTGTCAAAAAATATTYTTTTYYYYTTTTTTTTTTWWATTTTCCTAACTCAAACTAATTACTTAGGTGTGCTGCTTCCTATACATTTTTAATTTTATGCATTTTCTGAGGTCAAAGCTGAGAAACATCTGACATGAGACACGCCAACAGCTTGACTGCAGAGCTGCTGCAAGAGCAGACATGCATTCATGTCCCTYCTTAGCATCCCTCCATGTCAAGACCATGAGCAGTACCGACCCTGCTCTTTAGTGCCTCCCATTCATTCCTTCTATTTGCTCAGATGAAAAACAAAGTCACTTCATCAATTTTACAGAGTTTGCTAGGCTGGAGACCCTACGAGCATGCTCCATCCTTCCCCTTGTTCTCATGTACCTTAGTGCTTTGCACAAGGTTGACTTCATCTATGAAATTCATTCAACGATACACACTCTGTTGGCAGCTAATGATTAACACTACTAAAACATCATTTTCTCTCTCATTTACTTAGCTTTATAAGGAAAGCCACTCCCTATTAAAAAAGCATATGGTGGCAAGCCAACTACTACACACAAAAGAAGACAGAGAAGAAACTGGAGAAGTTATTCACAATAATGTCTAGTCGACTATAAATATTGAAAATATCAATATCCCCAAATATTCTGCTTGAACGATTAGGCCAGGTTTTATAGTTTTGTAGTAGGGGAATAGAGGGACGTATACATCATCATTTACCTGGCAAAAACATAACCTTTCCGTGCTACACTTAGCCTCTGCTGAATCCAGCAAAAGCATTATTTCTGAATTATCTAACATAATTCTTCCGCTGATTTATTGGGAAGCCTTGGAAAGCTTCCAAGGGGTTTTCTTCTCCTTCCGAAGAAGAAAACGTGGCTAATGCTGTTTAATACTGGATCATATTGCAAGGCAGTAGGAAAGTCTAAGACAGCTGAGTCACTGTTGTAGCATGTGGAAAAGGAGCAGGGGATGGTCCTGGTACTCACGGGGGTTGTTTGGCTGCGAATCCATGGGAATCATGAGCTTGGCCCGGGTGGCCCTGCGGGCAGCAAGTGAACGCTCCAGTGTGGACATGCTGCTTCCAACCTCTTCTGTCTCAGGAGCTAGAAAAAAATCCCACAACAGCTTAGCTGAAATTGCTGTATATGAACATCTCTCTCACCTTATGACCTGCTGTAACATCAATGTGTATTTTTAGACTCATTTAAACAGATCTGTAAACATACCACCTACATAGAGGTGCACAGATTATTCTGGCTGCTTCTCCCAAATAAAGGGATTTGGGTTTTGTTTTTCTGCAAGAGCATTAAGATACAAATTTCTTCTTTCCCATTATTTAATTTTCCTTTGTCCCTCAACTTACCCCAGCAATCTGCTGAATTCATAAAAATGACTCATCTTTCTTGTAACCAACTTGTTGCAAGTGTGTTTTTAACACAAGAGTGTGTTTCAAAATCTAAGTCTAGAAGAACAGAAATGACAAAACAGGGAGCATATATTTAAGTACCCAAAAATTAAGAGCGATGTGGCAAGTTCAGGAGGTGTCTGGCTCTCGCCTCTGTGTGCCCTGGTTCACAACCAGCTCAGGTACCCAGACTAGAGCATGGAGTTGCATTGACTACTGATCCAGTGCTGACACAGGCAGCTAGGCCTACACCCAGTCCCAACCAAAACGGGCTCAGCAGCTCCATAAATTACACCAGCTATTTAAGCATTGAAACGTGGATGCTCTCATCTAGCTGCATTGATATGGGATATTTGAGGGATCCAAAGATACCAGGAAATGTATTTGTCAGAAAATATATTTGCTTGGGACTGGATGTTCAGGGAGTAATTTGCAATGAAATAGAAGCTGTATTTCTTGCTTCAGACCTTGTCTCACACAAAGATAATTTAATGTTACAATTGCTATTTTAATAARCCACTGATTAAAACAGATTATTGTCATGCTATAAACTTAATATTCCCTCAGACTATTCATATCTGATGCTCTCCTGCTAAAACATATTCCTCAAAAAAAATTTGCATAGAAAGATATTTTTAAAATTTTGCTGGTGTGAATTTCAGGATGAAATACCAAGTCTTCTATCAAYGGCCACTCTAAGGCCTAACGGCTACTACAAAACCAGGGACAGTGTCACTCATTGGCAAGCAATAAAGAAGTATTTGCTTATAGACCAAGGTGTTTACACGTGAACCATCTAGGCCAGCCTTTGCCATTAATCCGCTCCGATGTTGTGAGGACTTCCTACCATGCACTCRATTGAAAGCCCATTGAGATCAATGGATCTCTCTCATCGATCTTTCTGGGTTTGGGTCACGTCTCCTGATCATCCTCAGTATCTGCTGGGGCAGGGAGCACCTTTTGTTTATGTTTTYACAGTGTCGACCTCAATGAGAACCRTTACGTTAAAAACACTACAAATCACTGTCACTATCATCTGCACGAACAGCAAGTCATCACCCCAAGCACAATGTCAGAGAAACAAAATTAGATCCATTCAGAAATCTGAAAGCTTCTCTTTCAATAACCTCTCTTTCCTTGCAGTAATGAGAGCGTCGGAGAAGATGCACAACCACTCGAGCCATCTGGACTCGTCACCTTCATTAGCTCCCAGCCCAAATGACGTTCTGCAAGGCGTCAGCCGTGCTGTGCTCAGGCAGTTCACTCACTATGAACTCAAGACAAAGATGTTCATGTCTCCAACTTGTGTGCTGTGCTCCTTGCTCTCTGTCCCTGTCTGAACCTGCCTCTCCCATGATGTTAGCATGGTGGGAAAAGGGGCTTTGGCTCAAGGGAAGCCTGAGATGAACTGGGTGAATTAAGATTAGTTAAAAAAAAAAAAAGAAAGAAAGAAAAAAGATCTAATTCCAGTAATTCCACCCCAAACCTGGCAGCACCAGCGCAGACTGGGATGGGGACACGTGTGGGACATTACCTGGCTGCGGGGCAGTCTTGGTGCCCAGCTGTGTCTCGGACTGGCTGTGCGTGACGGGGGCGATGTCCTGGCAGCCCTGCATGGGGGACTCCCTCCCCGGCGCGTCGGAGCCCGCCGGCTTTTCCATGTTCTTCATCTCCATCTCTTCGTGGTGTATCCAGAGATCTGGAGGCCTCAGGTCCTTCTGGCTGCCCTTCCTCTTGCCAGCGCTGTGGGTGGCTCGTTTCCTACAGCAAATAAAAACCAAGACATGTCGGAATATTCCCATTTTTGGCAGAACCGAAAGAGTAGATGTGGAGAGACATCGACTTCTTAGCATCTCTATAGAGAATCCTTTTGTTTATGGCCCTCAGAAGTTGGCACTGATCATCATCACTTTGACCTTCTGCTCTTAAGGGCTTATAGAAACTCATGCAATGTGGCTGCCAGGCATCTCATGGCTTTGGCACYGGCTGCTCGGCGCGACATGGAGCAGCTTTGGTGTTTGTCCCACTTGAAGCCACTTGCCAAGTCCCCACAGCCAGGCATAAGGTGCTTCCCTGAGAGCATATGTTTGGGAGATGAATGAGAGAGGGCGAGGAAAAAACAGGATTTGCTCCAGGGGATGAGCCCAAGGCTCAGCAGGGGAGGTCGCTTTTGTGGCAGCTGATGTACAAACCGGAGCAAAACATTTTTCCTGAAACAGACGGGAGGTGGGGAGCTTCCCTCCGGGAAGAACGCAATTTGGGAAGTAGCTGCAGCAAGAAACAGCAATCGGAAACGGCGGAGCCCATTTCTACCGAGCTATGCACATATTCACACAAATTGACTTCCACAAATGACTAAAGCATATGTTATATTTCTTTAAATATACATGAAAACATGATTTTTATTGCAGAAAAGCTAAGAAATGCAGAGCAGCATATCCCAGGGCAGCATTAACTTGGTTCTCCTCATGCATATGCATTGCAATATGCCCTTCCTTGGCGAGGACACCTGGTCACAGCCGAGAGATGCTGCCAAAAGCAAGTCCCCAGGTCCTTGGGTCGGGGCTGAGAGATGGTCACTGGGATGGGTGGCAGTGCTAGACCTTTGTCCCTGCTCTGTGACACTGAAAGCTCACCTGMAAGCTCTCTACATTCTTACTGGAAGTCTGCTGATTTAAGCAGCTTGTCAAGAAGCGCTTCTCTGGCTTATAATTAAGGTTTTTGCTCAATAATCACAACAAACTTTTCACAGCGCTGTTGATACTCCGTGAAAGCAAAGGTCTATCACTGCCCTGCATGTAAACATAGATATAGATGAGATGCACAAAGCTGCAGGCCAACACAGGTGCTGATCAGAGACACAAAAGCCTTGCTTGCCAAGGGCRCGGGGTGCTCACAGCTGCTCCCCGCTCCCACCACTTGCTCATCTTCAAACGCAGCCCCGCATGCCCCTGGAGCGATGGCTTTTGCCTGCATCCACTGAAATCAATGCAAGGAACTCTCACTGACTTCCAGAGCATTTGTAGCACATTTGTGCAATTTGGGTAGATACACACTGATCTCCCCCTTTTCCAAAATATGCCGCACAGGCAGCACTGTGGAACGTGCCAAGGAGGCTATCTCACTGGAAACGATTTTGAGGAAGTTTTAGACCTGAAGAAAGTCCAAGAGTTTGAATCAATTTCTGTTCTTTGCTAAATTTCCCGAGCCTGATCTAGAAAAGACTGGTTCAATATCCTGAATATTCTTTGAGGTACAAAGTTTTATTGTCGAATGGCACTTGGAAAGTTAGCAGGGAAGATGAGCCTGGGGTTCTTCAGAGACTTCTTACTCAGCTCCCATGAAATAAAATAGTTGATCTCTGGCCTAACTACTTTTTATGTTAGTTTGCTATTTTCTAACTGCCAAAACTTGATTATTTAAAATTATAGTATTTCTAAGAGCGAGGCAAAAGCACTGTATTTTACACACACGAACAGGGAGAGTTCTTTAATACCTTCTAACAGAACCTAGCACAGCCTCCTGGTTAGCAATTAGGAGAAAAACAGCAAGCACCTTCACTTAATCCTTAATGTATGTCCTGCTTGAAGCTAAGAAGTAAAGTTCATTTTTTCTATCTCATCCAAAAAGAAAAGAAAAAAAAAAAGCCCTACAATTTTTGTTCTAAACAAGGAATTATTTTCTTCACTTTGGGATACAACAGCTTTTTTGTCAGGTTCAATTGCAAATAATACATTTCTCCAGGTTTGAGCTAGTCAAGGGGAATTTCAGCCCCAAAGTAATTTTATACACAACCGTAAATAGGGAGATATAATGAATGTGTCATTCCAACCRTAACTACAAAATTGCTGCAGCAGTGATATCTTTTAAAAATATATGCAATGATCTGGGCTGGTTTACACTGTTTCTTTTTCTCACAAATTATTGATGTTCTCACAGCATTGAGTAGCAAATGGAATCAGAACCAGGMGGGCACCCTAAAGGTCATCAATAACATATGGAAACAAATCACCCCATAGCGTTTTGTTTGGGCAATGCAAGTTCTGCTCCCGAAGACCTACCTACTCCAATCCTAGTGAGGACCTTGCTACACYGGAGGAGCACCTAAGAGATAAAGGTGATGGTCATAAAAGATTCAATGATCTGGTCAGAACCTCAGCTCCAGCAGCGGGAACTCTGGAAGTTCCTATAGTGACTCCACAGACACGATGGGATTCAAAGGCAGCCCAATACCTGCTTCAGGACCCAAAGCAGCAGCAGGAAGAATTTAGAATGGAAAAAAATGATCCCAGGTGGCAGCTTTTCTGTTGCTGTTCAATTATTGTACAGCAAGAAATGCATCAAAATTGCCTGCCAGAGTGATGCTTTTTTTTTTTTTCTTTCCTTTTTCTGCCCTTTTTTTTCCCCCAAGGTACATGTAAAAATAGAATTTCACTCTGCTTTAAAAAATATATTGTGGTCACGCAATCTCATACAATGAYAGCAGAACCGTATGATGTGCCTTGTACACAAAGAAACTCTTTGGAGAGGAGATTTCTGCGGTACAAGCAGAGGAGGGCCTGGTCCCTGGCCGGATCTATTAGCACTCCCATAGAGCTGGGAACAGCTACGACTCGCACGCTACGTGGCACACGGTGCTGAAGTCAGCTGGGGGGACATTATTCTTCATTGCCTGCACTTTATAGTTACAACACCCCAGGGAAACAGGTAGAGTTGTAACAGCTCCGCCGGGCTTATTTTTTTTAAATAACGGTTTAAGAATTCCGTATCTGAAGAGCCCAGAAACAACCAGGTCTCCGGGAAGAACTGCCAAAGAGGCCGGTGCTCAGCTGGCCCCAGGGGAGGCTGGCGGCCTCGAGGCTGCACRCGTCGGGTCTGGGGTCTGTCTGCGCTTTGGCTTTGCTGGCAGGGCTGCAGGAAAAGAAACTCACCTGCCACAGAGGGCCTGGGGCAAAAAGATGAAAAAAAAAGCAGAATATAAAGCAATCCTGTCTAGGGAAAATGCCCCCCATGTGCACTGTCTACCCAGCAGGACTGGACGAGATGCCCACTCTGCTCCCTTGCAGTAGCCATAATCTCATGCTGTTAGTCCATGGGCTTGCGCTACCAGTCCATAGGTTAATTACTTTGGCATATTGCAAATGCCAGGAACCACTTTTCTCTGTTTGCTACTACATGATACTGCTTACCACGAAGCTTTAAAAAATTCCTGCCAGAAGGAAGGTCCCGCACCCAGCAGACACATCCCCATGCAGGCCTGGGAGCCCCGAGGTGAATCTCATCTGCTGCAGGAGTCATATGTTAGCCCCTTAGCACAACTGAGTTAATAAGCCTGAAATTTCAATCACTTTTTTTCCATTCTTGTTTTTTTACTGGTGTCAAAAGTGTCATACTTTTTTTTTTTATGGCAGATATTTGATTCTTTCCTAAATGGCAAAGACATAAAACACGTATTAAATCACCTAGGTCAGAAGCAGGTTGTTCTGCACAACGACTTTGTTCATCTGAGTTTTAACTAACTTAGGAAATAGCAGGTTCCTCCACCAAAGGAGACAGCTCCATCGCCTACAGGGTTTCGCTCCGAGGAAAGACACGTGCATTCAGCAGTGGGATGAGACGGGGCCTTCACCCTTACTGCAGCTCTTTTGTTCTGAATTCTACTGGTGAATTTGAAATAAGAATCAGACGACAGTGCCASTAAATCCAGCATCTGTATGATTTGTTTCACAGAAGGCATCTCTCCGCCCAGGTGAGAAACAAAAACATTCACACCAACAACCTCTGTTTTGAAGCAGTCCAGGTTTTGTTGTGCTACAAAGGAGGCCCAGGTCGATGAATTCAAATGTGGGTATGTAGCTTCTAAACACCTCCTTCTGAGCAGACGAATCTCTCTCTCCTCCTTGAGTCCTCTGCCCACGTTAGGAGCTCAGGGGAGCCYCAGTCTGGATTCCGCAATCACTGAAGGATTTCTGTTGCCATCACACAGCGGCCTCATTTCCAGCTGTGAGGATGCACAATGGCAGCAGCTTTTCAAATCAGTTTGGCATTCAACTACCCGAGATCTCCTTAGAGCACGGGCCCTTATTTTTGTGCCAAAGGGAGCAAAAGGAGAGGTTTTTTATTTAAAAAAAATCTATCTTAAGATAYTGATCTTTAGAAAAAGCATTTCTATAGGTGAGCAAAGAATACTACAAGATGCCACCTGTCTGCCTATTCAGCATACATGGGAACTGCTTAGTCCTCTGCCCATTCATTCTTTCATCCTTCCACCCTTTTTTAAGCATCAATGCAAATCAATGTAATAGATTTTGTCTTGCTCTTAGTCCAAACATTTATCATCCTTGTGGGCAAACTACGATTAAATTTTACTTTCCCATGTCCAATCTTTTGCAATAGCATAATAATGAATCCCTTTACTGAATAATTTTCAATAAATTAAATGTATCAAACCCAGCTCTGTTGCCAATACAGTGACTCCAGTGGAGTCATTTCATCTCTCACCAGGCTTTGATGTCACCTCTAATATCTCGCAAAAAAACTGCAAAATGCTTTGTGCTTTATGCTGCTGCCCTTTTATAACATCCCACAGATTTTTCCTCCCAGAAATGTTCTACAGATTTTCCTTCCAAGTACATGAGAATCATCTGGAGAAACAGATGTTGGCTCCTTTTGCTGAAAGACTTCTGGGGACTGGCTGTCTGGAGGGGGTAACATCCTTGCAAAAGGCAGGCAATAAGCAGGAATGTCTGCGATCCTCAGCTGTGCAGARGCAGAGCTGGGGGATCAGAAAGCCTAGCAGCGGGCACAGATAAGTACATTTTTCTCCTTTAAATCTTCCCTGCGTTTGAATCGCACTCAGCAACATACAGACTGGTAGAGCTGTGCCTGGCAGGCATTTTTCAAGGTGAGCTGTGTTGGAGGTACTTATCTGCCACAGTTTATGTGGCACTCCAGGGGACACAGGACATTCTCCACTCACTGGACTAGATGATCTCCAGAGGTCCCTTCCAACCTCAACCATTCTTTGATTCACCATCTGCGTCCAGCTTCCCAAGGCCATGCCTCCCCAAAACCACAACAGAGCCAGGATCAAAACCACCATCGACCTCRAGACTCCACATCTCTGCAGTTTGAAGCCAAGGCCACCTTTGAAGCAAGGCCACCAAGATCCCCTTGACTTTCCATGCCGCAAGGAGCCAACGTACTTCCTCTGCTGCGCCGAGGAGCGCCGCGTGCAGATGACCGCGACCACCGCCACGACCACCACCGTGATGACCCCGACGGTGACGACGATGATGACGAGCAGGTTGCTGTTCTTCTGCGGCGTGACGCTGCCGTGCGGAGGGTGCATCTGCCCGATGGGAGGCTCTGCAAGAGCACATACAATGAGGAGAATATTAGCGATGGGTTTTAAGCTCTAGTCTGATGTACATTGATGAGGGAAACCCTGGTGGGTTTTGTSCATCACATTACGTGGACATGTTTTCCTGTAGATAACAGAGGAAAGAGAAAAGAGGTCAGAAATATTTTATGCCACATGAATTCCTCTGTGATGTGAACACTGCAAAGTCACCGTTTTTAAGAAACCTCATGCTTATCTGATGCTCAGGTAGACAACTGCTTAGCAGGACACTATTGCCATCTACTTCCCTTCTTCTTTAGAAGCTACCCACAGAAAGAGACAAAATTTGAAGTCTGGTTGCAGAGACTCCTCTCCAAAAGCAGATCCGACAGTCACATCTCAGTGCATTTCAGGGCTACAGCAAACAGGGAAATGTTTAAGCCGTAACCACGTCGCGCTTTCTGGGTATTAATAACGAGGCGTCAGGAGTCAATAACCCTCAGCTCACATTTGCTATAATCAGCTGAAAATGGAAAACTGGGGAAAATGTATTTCTTCTTTATGGTCTGTACAGTACTCCTGGGTATTTACAGAAAAATCTTGTCTGTTAGCCAACTTGAACACCTGATTCGTTTCTCAGGACTGCTGTCACCCCACAGCTGGCTCCCCCTGCATTATATTTTATTTACTGAGATGCCGGCTGGATTTCTGCAGGCCACTTCAGCTGTTAACGGGCTCAGACCTGAACCAGGAGCAGCCTCATTTTTCTTTTAGTTTGAATGCAACTGGAAGACTGGGCCTGAAAATAACACCATTGCTGGTGTCAAGTCCTAATCAAGCTGACTTCAAGAACGGATTCCTTGCTATCTACACTTTCCTCCCTTATATTGTGAATAGCACAATTTCTATTTTCATAACCTCTTTGGATAATACATATATTCTAGTATACAATTACTGTTGTTGGTAATATCCACATATATAGACAATATCCACATATATGAAGTTAATTTTGGAAATACGTATTTCCACTTAAGCTTGGAGAAAAAAACCTAGATATTCAGGAGAACTCAGTGGAGTGGGATATGGAAGAACTGCCCTACAGTATGTCAAGCATGTCCATGAGCTTCTCCTACGGCAACACCCACTAGAGCTTCCTTGGTTTAAACTAAACAATATGTGGCTGTGATTTCATTTTGCCATTAGTACAACTGAATGAGAAATGAAAAAAGGTCAAAGCTTTCAAAATAACAGCTCTAGATAGTGATAGATGTAATTTCATTCTAATTTTCTGCCTTGATTTTCTGACCTATTATCCTTTCTTTACTTAACAAATTAAGTTACTGGAATAATTTGCCCTTTCCTCGCAGCTCTTCCTCGGGCATTCAACCCAGGCGAGCATTTTGAGCGCCGTGCGTTCATCATTGCAACTACCCGGCACAGCAATCCAGCAGCAGCTTAGCTTTGGTTGCTTCTTCATCTCCATGCTGAGGAAATGGCTTAATACACAGTGACTGTCTTGGAAACCAAAGAGCCTCCTCTCTCCACCCTGTACTCCAGGCACTGGAAGCTCCCTCGACCTCTCAAATTCTACTTACCTGTRATATCAAAATTTGCAAATCCATAGCTAAAAAACCACTATCAACTATTGACATGGTCCAATGCTGCAAGCAAACTCCAAAGCGTCAGGGTGGAAAGCCTCAGAGGTTTTCCTCTGCGCGTGCTTCTTTACAGCTCCCAAGCTGGACCACACGCTTGACAAGGTATGGTCACCTCCTCCATGTATTTTACCAAATTTTAGAGCTGAGACCTCAATATTACTTACACAAACAGATGCAAACCCCTCTGCTCAGTTCTGCAGGTGTAACTGAAGGCAAAAGAAAGCACCTATTGCTCGAGGTTGTTTCAAAATCCATGGTAATAGCTCAGTGCAGAGACACCTCCATTCCACCCCCTGCAGAACTGCAGTTGTTCTCAAGCAGAGAGACCCAGTTTAAGTAGAAAATAAGTTTTCCACAGGGAATTTAACTCCAGCTCTGTGCCATGCCCTGGGATCATTCAAACCAGACCTACTGTCATTAGAGCAGGACTCAGCACATGTGGTCCCAAGAGCTCTCTTTCAGCTAATAAATAAATTTCAGGTTAAAAATAAATAATTAATTAATTAGATGCAGCTGATTCTCTTCATTTAAGAGCTACTATTAAGAGGAGGCAGTAAGGCTATATTACAGATAAGGGATATACTGGCTGTAGCAAGAGGGAACTAAATTTTGCATTCACTCCCTGTTTTGTCTGAGGAAAAATAATCAGTCTGAATTAATCAGCGTGGTTCCTTGTAATTATTTGGTACTTTCAAAGCTGACATGCTGTTGCATTTTAGGGATTCCTGTCTGCTTCTTTCATTCAATAACATGAAAAGACAGCGCTTCATTAGGCAACGGGTGTGGGGTCAGGAATAAGAAGTTACTGATGGCACTTTTACACCTCAGCTAATAGCAATTAGATTCAGAGCTTTTTGGTTTTGTTTTTTTACTCCATGGCTTTTCCTCTCATTTCTTCCTATTTCAGGGCAGGATTAATCAGGAAAAGTGGTACTTGGCACGGAAAGTGCAGCTTTGTGAAATGCACTTTGCAGCTCTTGCTCCGTTGTGCATGCACAAAACACAGCCCAACTTGAACTTCAGTGGTCACCTCCACACCAGGAGACTAAACAGGAAAGGAAAGMAAACAGGAGGTAGCCACCAAAACGGAGCTTAGCAAGGAATAGGCTGCAGTTTACCGTTCAGGCTGCTTCTGTCGAGCAGGTTGGTGTCCACGGGCCAGTAGGAGCCATCTCCGTGACGCCCTGTGCAGAAGAGAAAGACATGAGCACTGTGGTCATGCTGCTTCCAGCCACCCCACCACACAGCCCATGGCTCCTGGGGACCACGTGGAGAACGGCGAGTCCCTGGGTGTGGGCATGCAGGGAAGCACAACCCCGGAGCGGCTTGCTGGGCATGCAGCCGCCTCATTCTAACCCACAGGTTAAAAATTACTACCATTTATTGGCATGCAAACCTCAAATTTATCTGTATTATATACTAAATACGTAAGGGTATAATTTTTATGCCACCAAGTTTGTTGTTGGGAGACTATCTGCAAAGTCCAAGCCTGCCCAGCTCCTCCTCTGCACCAGGATGGGCCCCAAGGAGCCCAACGCAGGGGCCAAGAGTAAAGAGCAGCTTGTCCAGTCAATGGGCTGTGCAAAACTGTGGAAAACCAGCACAAGGASTTGCTGGGGTGATTCCAGCAAGCTCCTAATTCCAGTGGCTCTGAGCTGATTCAAATGGCTCACTGTCATCAGCCACAGCCCATCATCCCATCTCCCTGTCTCGCACAGCCTCTTGCTGCTGTGCACCATTAAAAACCGCCTGTTTCTCAGCAGAGGTGTTTGTTTTTCTGCAGATTGGGGAGAAAATCGCGTGTATAACTTTGCTTTGCCATTTGGGAAAGATTTTGCGATGAAAGGCCCTAAATAAACGTAAGATCATTATCATCAGAGGAGGCTTCAGTGTAATCATCTTTTCAATCAGAGTAATTGCACCGCTACAACAAACTGGTCCTGCGAAAGCGAGGTTGAGAAACGTTTAGTGGTAAAAACAAGGCAAAATAGAGATAAATGGAGGCTATAGAGTTTATCTAAATGACACTCTGAAGCAGTCTTGTTACTAGCATCTCGGTGCAACCTGTGARTATGATGTGACCCTAGGGCCACGCTGTGCCTCGTAAACTGGGTGTCTCAACGGGAAATCGCTAAATGTTATTGTTTGGGGTGTTTAATCCAAACTGAAATGGCTCAGGAGGAGCCTAACACATGAGAAAACGCAGTTGGGATGCCAGAAACGTAGARGCTAGCCTTGCACGCCCGACTCGAAAGTTTAGTAGTTTTTGATTTACAGAATAGCACTTTTCAAGGCATTATACATGACATTTCAATTGCAAAAAGAACTTTGCATAACCAGCTGCCAGCTTCAGTTTGCATGATTCTGCTGAAATTATGGACCCCGCTCCTGGGGAAAATAACTCTGTGCTGTGGCTTCTGAGCTCAGCCGAGCTGCGGGCAAACCTAGAGTGAGACCAAGACCAGGACTCCAAAAAGACTCCAAAAGCCAAGGAGCCAACAGGTTCCTGCAAGGGAGGTTGGCTACATCATGCATCTCAAAGGGGGTCTCCCATCATTTTGGGGGTCCTGTTTCTGTCCCTGCGACCCATAAATGGCCTCTGTCCAAGTGTGATGGCACCTAGCCACCTAGAAGTGTGGTGATTTCACTGATAAGACATAGGAAAGTAAATAACTTCTAACAAATGGAGCATTTCTACTATACTGTGTGTTACAGGTAGCCAAGATGATTGAATTTATGGTAATTTAGCTCTGTTCTGCTATTAAGACAAACAATCATTATTCAATATTTGGATAAAYATAGGAATTTAAGCACTTAGGAGCCAAAAGGTAAATCTCCTAATGCGTTTTAGGGCTTTATATGTTAAAGGGTAAGCAGGACTTAAAACAGGATTATAGACGCTTTACTCCAAGCCAACACACCACCAGGAATGCATTCCATCTCTAGTGTGATCTCTGCAAGGATTTGAGATGTACTGCCCTCTATAGAAGTGAGGGGATGTGGAAGACCAGTGCTTCTTGCTATTTCTTCTTCTGGAACAAACCATTCCAATGCCCTGCCCAACCCTCTATTTCTTCTAGGACTGCCTTTTTAATGGAGCTTGAAAAGTCTTTACTGAGAGCTGTGTCTTGCCCTGAGAGGGCCCAAAACCTGGATGCCCCCTCTCACCTCTCTGTTCTCCATTTAACCTCTCTTTTCACCTAGATCTCTCTTTTGAATGTTTCAGGGACTCAAGCCTTCTTCCACAACTATATTTCAGTTGCCATTATATGCAATAACTATTTCAACTACGCCTGGTCAAGGCAAAAAAAAAAAATCTTAAAACACCTTCAGGGACAGCAGTTCTCTATCCTCTTGGATCTCCAGCACTTGCAGATTGCTCAAGGACTCTGTTGTGATATTGCTATAAATTCCTTATTTGTGCTTTATTTCAACAAGCTCCTTATTTCCACAGGCCACTGAACCACCTGCAYGGATGGAGATGCAACATCCTCCCCTCACAAAACACTGCTTGACTCACGAAAACCTGAGATGTGGAAATTAATGGTGAGTGATGCCATTTCTATTGCAGCCATCTGACCCAGATACAACCCCACGCTGCCGCTTTTGTTGCTTTTTGCCTGAAACAGTCCAAGATACTCGGAAAATAAGGCTGGCGATATTCTTTTCTCAGAAAACAAGAGATGAGAAGTGGCTCTTTGTGCCCCCCAGGTGCCACGGCGCGGGAGGCACTCGTTGGCCTTTTGGTGCTTAGCATGAATGTCAGCCACACGAGGCTTTAACAACAGCATCCTGCTTTGCTTCTAACAACACGCATCTGTCCTCGGGTTCATCACCACCCACCGCGGGTTGCAGAGCTGCAAGCCCAGGCTGGAGCACAGCAACCACTGAAAAACACTGGATTTTGTACCATTTTGGTACAACAAAAACACAGAACCGTTATTTTCATCATTAAGATCCTAGAGAGGTTACTGGAGACAAATGAGCTGTCACCATCCTGTCACTGCTGCCCTTTTTGATAAAGACATTTTTAAACCAGGTAAAATGCAACAGTCAAGGACGGCTCAGTGCATTTCAYGTTGCACTAGTAAAGCCAAAGGCATCTCTACAAACAGCAATCAGCGTTAAGCTTCTTGACAAACAGGGCTATTTTTGTGTACAAGACTACTGATTTTATTGGGGTTTAGTTGCCCATGTGTATTTATGGGTTCGTTTAGGATACTGGAATATATGCGCTGTCCAGGTCATCAAGAAGGATTTGCAAGTTTGGGACCTAATTAATGGGATGGGAGGGAAAGCCGTACTGTTATAGGTGACTGATCCAAGCAACTTATTAAGGACTTTCATGGCCTAGTTTGTGCTATGCCGAGTTTTTATACAAGTATGGTAAGTAACCAGGGACATAAATGCAATGTAGGTGACTTATGTATTTAAGATGGCAAGAGGATATAAGYTGGACAGCCCAAACTGGGCAGGGATGCTTGCTCAGCCCCCAAAGGGACATCAGGTCTAACCAGCAAAGTGTGAAGCTCTGGGGAAACCACTGGTAGGATTTATAGGGATAACCTCCATGCACACATACCAAGCAGAAGAAATTCTTCCATTAGCCCTTGATCTAATTTTAATATGAGGTTTTGGGAAGGCAGAAGTATGACTTAGAAGAGACAAGGTAGGAGACAAGATGGAATAAAGCCAGGACACTGGCATCTCGGCTCTTAAAAACACCTTCCCCAACACCAGGGAGAGCCAGCAGAGGACTTCATCAGGGCTGGGAGATTCTCCGGTGCGTCGCCTGAGGTGGGAACTCAGCTTGCATTGCACAGCCATCAGCCCAGTCCCCTCTACATTGACTAGAAGCGACACAAACCTTGTGATCATGGCTTAARCTGGTTACCTTACATTGGAAAAATTGCTTTTTGGAGGCACCTGTCTCTCCCTATCGACCACAGAGAACTGCCAGACTATGAAACCTGCAAGCTTAGATGGATCGTGGCTTTCCCCGGCACTGGGTAGAGGACAAGGAACCCCTGCAGCCTGTTAGACTGTCCTAGTCGTGTTAGAAGTGCTAGCACCTGAGCCCTACCTTCAGCTGTTTTCTACAGACTCAAGAATCTAGCAGAAAACAGACAAAAAAGGAGACCAACAGCTATGCAAATCCCCACTGAGGTTCTGCATCRACCAGGATTTAAATAAATCAGAGAACGTGTGTCTTCTCCTCCGGTAAGGCACCAGCACCACAGCAGGCCCCACTCTGGGCAGGTTTCGGCACAGTGCAGCGTTTGGACAAGGTGGCACTGATGGCAAGCTTGCTTTTCAGCAAGGGGTTCTCTGACAGACCTCTTGGAAGGCAACGGGGTAGAGATGCAAGATGAGGGGAGCAGATGTCCTCCTGCCTCTTGACCTCTAGGCTCTGTGTCAAAGGAAACCCTAAGGCAATTTCCTCAAAAACATCTCACTGCAGCAAGAAGCACAGCCAACATGCAGGAAAAGCCATTCTCCTCAGGTTTTCAAGGAGATCCACCTCCCTTACACAAGGCTTCTTTATTTTGGTCCTTAAGAACGCGTTCTTTACTTGCTGGATTAAATTAGCCAGATACCTGTGCTGGGTTCTGTTACCTGCAGCTTTTTCTTGTAGAGGAGTTACTTTGATAATGGCAATACTTGTTCTTTCCTCTCCAGGTAGCAGAGTGCCCCCGTGCCCTGTGTTACTTGTTTGGCAGGTGGCTCTTTGAAGAAGATCTGACCGGCCCAGCCTCCTGCTGCCGCTCTGCTCAGCGCCTGCAAAATCGCCTCCGAAGCCGGAGCCCGGAGCCAGGAGAACGGCTCGAGCAGGAGGTGGAGAGGCAGAGCCGGCGCCTCCCGCCACGATGGCTGTGCCRGGGCTGCCGCTGGGCGCCCGGGGCTCGTGTTCGTCCAGCACCGGCGGGGCTGCGCTTCCGACAGCGCTGAGCTCCAACGGGCCGTATCCCGGGCACGCCGGGCTGCGCTGCGCACCCTGCGCTTCCRACAGCTCAAGCAATCAGTGCGCTGTTTATCCACGAGATGAAAAGGTGGCAAACGGCACTGCCAGGTAGGCAGCATCCATCCCCTGCTCCGAGGAGGCAGCACGAGGAGGCAGCACTTCGCCCCGGACGGGTCTGAGCGGGACTCGGCGCCGCTGCGGCACGGCACAGCCCTCGTCTTCGCTGGTCTCTYGTTCATCGCCAGGGCCGGGTCCCAGCGCTGGTCCCGCCTGAGCCAGGACGCAGGCACCCTCGTACTCCCCAATCCCGCCCGGGTCTCCCAGCTTCGCTCCTGCTAATGAACCTACCCAGCTCAGTCGCTACCTGGCCCGCTTCATGGGAGACACATTCTGAGACAACAACTGCACAATTAAAACCTATTGACATTTCCCAAGATAAGAAAAAAATATTTGCTCAGAACTACACATGCTGCCTTTTATCAAAATTCACAATGTTAGTTATCATACTTGTAGTCCAAACATAGAAATCACCTTTGTAGCTCTTGCACAAATCTAATTTTGCTGGCAGCACATGGCTATCAACAAGTGCTGTATTGACAAAATACAGACTAAAGAATTTAACACTGGCTTACCAAATGAAAGCTGAGGGGAGACAAAACAAAAGGAATGAATCTCTTCCTTGCCCGGTTTGCCTCCTTTCCCTCCAGATCAAGACCATAAGTGGAATTTTTTAGCCCRCAGGAGCCTCCACAACAGCTCGCAGGGACACAGCTGGCCTCCTACGTACGCAGGAGATGTAGGGGACGTCTGTGAGGAACGCTGTCCTGCACCTGGAGCCTGCAGGCCCCGAGGAACTGGTGGCTTCCAGCGGAATGACGCTGCCATGCGCAGGTGCCACCTGAGTGCAGKGACACGGGTGGCACTGGAGGCTCTGCTTGGCCACACAAGCCTCTCATCCCCTCTCTGTCTCCCTGTCCATGCCTGAGATTCCACCACCTCAGACCCCAAAACCTCAGTGTCCCTCCCCAAGCCCCATCACATGTCCCCCCTGCCCTCTGAAAATGCCACCAAGGAGCATTTGGATGCAGAATGCAGTGGTCCTGAGCGTCTGTTCAAGACAGATGACCTCAAAGAGTTAATGTGTGTCACTCCACAAGAATTACAGCTGTGACAGAGATGGCCTTAAGGGCCTTGTCCGATGCACTGAATAATTGAAAAGGCTCCCGCTGACTTCAGTGGGCACTGGATCAGGCCAGGGATGGTTGAAGAATTAGCTTTGATGATTTCTGAGTCAAAGGAGCTTTTAGAAACTTTTACCGCTGTTTATGGTAATGGTGCCRCTCGCAACACAGCGACGGTGAGACCTGGCCCCATTGACTCATCTTTAATAGAGTCACATAAAGATCAAAGGGAAGACCTCAGACTTYTTCACCGATTAGAACTGGTCATCAGCGAAAGGTAAAGATGAAAACCGAATGTAGATATCKATGGGCTGATGAAAACCCCAAAGGGCTGGGAATCCAATGCAGCCTGCTACACCCACTCGGACAAGACACGGTGCTAATAATGTTCAGGTGTGGGTGTTAAGCAAAGCCATTAATGCTGCTTAAAACGTGCTCCGCGTGTCCTCCTGGCTGAACGCAAAGTCACCGCGTTTTCAGGGGTGCCGTGCGGCTCAGGCATCCCAAACCAGGACACCTGGAGCAACTGGAGTTCAGAGCCCACGACCACGATTCCCACGCGCGCTCGCGGCGCCGAGTGCGGAGCGCAGCCTACGCACCCGCTGCGAGCGCCAAGGAGACGCCGCCTGAAACCTTTCCCGCTTCTAATTGAAATTTACCCTCATTAACTCRTTGACTAGGTTGCAAACATTGTTCGGGCTGTACGAGAACAATGGATGATTCCAGCGCCAGTCTTCCAGTCTTTAATTGCTTTTGGATAATAAGGCGGCGCGCTCGGAGCCTGGCGGCGCCGCGGGATCCCCCCGGCCCGTGCCCGGACACGGCGGCTGCAGGGCCGTGCAGGACCGTGCGGGCCGGCGAGGCCACGCGGCGGCTTCTGCCGCGGGCCGTGCCGTGTTCCCGGGGCTGAAAATGGGCAAACACGGTCCCAGCACTGGGCTGATGCCAATTTAGAAGCCACCATCGGCCACCCTGCCATGCCCAGCCCATGCCTCGCTGTCCCTGTCATTAACCCCACTGCGTTGCCACTTACAGAGAGCAACAGCAGCTTCGCCATGCGTCTGCATCTATTTTTATCCACACAAACAGTATCCAAAGCAACAGGATAATTCCTACTTAAACACGCTACCTTGGGCGACCAGGAGTTGGCCAACGCGCATGCAGGAACGCCCTGGATCCTCAATGCTATATTACACCTCAAAATGATTCTTAAAATATGCAAACGCAGATCTCAACATTCCTTTCAAATCCCCCTGCTAACCCCGTGGAATTTAGTGTKTTGCATCCGAAATCGCATAGTTTTTTAGGCATAACACGAGCCGGGGAGCAGCTGGCGCAGGCAGTGCCCCAGGAACGATGCGTTCACCTGCCCCACGCAGAGACCCTGCACTTAACCCGTCACGCTTATTCACTTCTGGCCACTAATTAAACTGCAGAGCACGGAGGCCCCAGCAGGGCYGTTCTGCAGGGGATGGGCTCTCCTCCCGCTACCAGCGAGGGAAGCTAACCAGGCTATGGAACCCATGGCCACTTTTCCCCATTTTCTGTTTTTTTTTCTCTTTTTTTCCCCACCTAGCATTGCACAACACTGTGTGGAACATCCCCCAAATCCTGACTTCTCTGAGCATGAAATGGAAAGGGGCAAGCAGAAGATACTGAACGMATACAGAGATAATAATGTATATATTAATAATAACAATATATACATATATAAAAATATACACATCATATTATATAGAATACACATATTATATTTTATATATATAACACATGATGTGCATATTTTATATCTGTATAATAATAATTGACACTTTTTCGATCCTCCCTACCAGGTCATGGTACATTGCATCACAGCCTTTCCTACATTTTCTCAATATTTCTATGTTTCCTGCTTGAAAATACTTTAAGTGTCAATAAATTGACAATTTACTTCCATGCTTCTTTGTCAGCTACCACGTTTCCTCTTTAAATRGGCACTATTTGGCTACAAAACTGCCATTTTCAATTGCTGAGTGCTCACATGGAGCCAAACCAGCATTTAATTTTTAAATTTGTATACTCCAAACTCTTTCCCCTGCTACGCAAGCACCAACCAGAGCCTTCAAAAACACTTAAATATTTAAAAAAATAGATTTTGAGTAAAAAAAAAGAAAATCATATAGCAGTTTTACAGGCTTCACAGATATTCAGCAACGTTTAAGTGAAGAGCAGAGAAAGCAGAGAGTGACAATGCCTTGAAAAGTTGACCAAACCTGGCTACTACTAAGCACGAGCTGCCAATTTGGGAGGCAAGCTGATTTAGGACTTCTCACCGTGTGACTTTTGAGCTTCTAATCTGGAACCCTCCAAGAGGTGCAAGAGTAGCCTGGAAATTACACTGAGCTTCATTATCCCTCGCGTGAATTATTCAGCAGTGCAGCGGAGAGCCCAGGAATTTATTTCCCCCGAAGAAGCTCCACGTTTTAATTGGTCCTTCAGTAAAGAGACCAAACAATTTCCTCTCTGGAAAATCTACATCTTCCCATGCGCGCGGCCACGCAGGGCTTCGTTAGCGGGACTAWCTGGCCCGTGGGAGCTGCCTGCTCGGCTGCACGTCCCCGGGGACCGCGCGGGGATGGATGGAGCGGGGTGGGGACAGACAGCGGACACCGTACCTTGGTCATTGGCCATTTTGTCAGGGTGCTCGACTGCAAGGGAAAGACAACACAGTTAGAGACATGTCCAGAGCGACCTCCCGTCCCCTCCGCAAAACCATCTGCGGGCCCGGGAGGACAAAACCAAGCTGCCCTCTRTTTTGCAGCAGGCGATTTTTTGCAAAACTCTCAAAAATCTGAAAAATTGCCAGTATTTTCTTTTTTTMTCCTCTTATTCTTTTAAATCCCCGTGCAACCTGGGAAGTTTAATTAAGCACCGAAGTGAAGGAGGGAGAGAAGGAGCAGGAGAGAGGGAGAGGAGAGATACAGTTTCTTTGAATAATTACAGTCAAAGCACCGATGAGTTGAAAGCTAATTCTGACTTACATTATCATTGTTTCAGCTTTGCACAAAAGAAGTTAAAAACTATTTACATGTTTTTGCATAATAGCCATAAGAGATAGTGTGATTTGAAGTGCACCAGTCAAGACTTCAAAACTCAATAGGTACATTAAAAGCTACAACTTCTGATTATTAACGACAGCACTGCGGGAATTAAACTTTCTTTGGCTTCATAAATAGCTACCATTGCAGAGCACTCACCAATCCTCTGCTTGATAAAATAGGCAAGAGATTTAAGCACAGCAAACTGGGGAGAAAGGGAGTGAGCTGCGGGAGCTGCACAAGCCCTGCTTAGAGATGCAATGTGTGCTCCAAGCCCCTCTGGGTGAGCATGGGATCATGCAGGGGGAAAATTAAGGCATGAGGGAGCAGCAGTTAAGGTGGGCGCAGGTTTTGTGCTGTTGAAGTTAAACTGCTCCTCAACACAGCCCTGACACAGCATTAGAGGGCACTGCAGGGCTGAAAATGCTGCCCCACGCCACCCGTGCCAAGGGTGGGGGAACGGGCATCGCCCCTGGCATCTGGGCTCCTTGAGGGATGCGGAGGGAATGGCACATCCTGATGTCCCATGGAAAGCCCAGGGATGGCGTTTTCCTGGTGGATTTTAGCCGTTTGGAAATGCCCAACAGTGGCCATCAAGCCCAGACCTCTGCTCTCCTCCTCTCTCGCCTTGCACTCACCCCTGCAGAAAACACATCCAAYCTAGTGTTTTAGTCAGGCTTGAAATTACGCCTACAGCTTCATTATAGGCACATATGTTTCCAGGACACGGAGCGGGCATTCAATAGGCAACTTCTCTTCATTTTATCCGTATTGATGCAATGTTTTGTGCRACTCCAGCAAGCTGAGCAGTGTCCTTTAATTTTCTTCAGCTAATGGAGTTCAGCACACAACGAAGGGCTGTTTGGAAACACGGGCTGAAATTCAGAACAGTTGTGGCTGGGCAGCACAAAGCCCAAGCAAATCCAGCAGGGGCAATTTTGAGATTTGTTTGCTTCTGCTACAGATGAAAAAAATATATATTTATTATTTGAAAGACAGAGGGAATCCTCAAACCCACCTGCCACGAGCCCATCCACTCTTATTTGCCATTTTTCACTGGGCATTTGTGAACACATTTCAACCTGTATGTATTTACTTCTGCATTTCATTTATGCACCGCAGAAATAACGGGACATTGAGAATTGGACTTTAACCTGGGGGGAAATCCATGACAATATGCTATGCAAAGCTGCAGAACAGTCGCATAATATTTGGGCATATTATATTTATCACAGAACRACTGAGGTTGGAAGGGACTTTTGGAGATCATCTAGGTSAACCCTTCTGCAAAGTATTTATAGAATACATAAATGTAAATATAAATACAAAATAATTATAAATTTATATATGTATGTGTGTGTGTTTATGCATATGTGATATTTACTCAAGTCATCCAGAGTTGTTCTTGGCAAGGACTAAGAAAAACCCCGAAAACGACCTCAGGGTTTGTTATTAGACGAGCTGGGCCAAAACTGTGAGCCGGTTAATCCCATTTCACCTGTTCCAGGCTCCGAAGGATATGTAGCAGAGCCTTCATGTGGCAGAAATGTAGCCCGAGCCAGGCAGAGCCTGAAAAAGCAGAGCCTCAGCTGATGCAAACCCTCCTATATTCACTGGAGCCCACAGCACAACGACAGTAAGCCAAGGATTTGCCCATTTGCCTGGGTATTATTATCCGTGGAAGTGAGCTGGAAGCACATAAACCCACTGCTCCCGTGGTACTGTTATTTACTATTAAATATATCTGTTTCCTCACAGATCACTACATTTTCATTAGCAGAGGCAAGTCAGTACAAATACTTACATTGCAATTCTAACACAAGTAATGGCTTGGTTCCCTTGAAGGAGCTTTATGTGCTACAATATATAAAATCAGACCGGGGGTGACTTAGTGGATCTTTGATGCTYATTTAGTTCCTTGTAGTTTAAAAACCTTCTCTGATCACGACATATATTTGCTATCAGAGCCTTTATTATCACATGGCACATGCGCATTTTCTGTTAATAATCATTAAGGGCAGGAAACCAAGATTTTTGCATAATTCAGCATGCACTCAGGGCTTCAGAAGGTCTTTTCACCTCAAATGTAGAGGCAGATTTGTCAAAAAACACTTGAATATTATTGAACATGACATATTTAGGGTGGATATCATTAAATATTCATGGCAGGGTATTAGACATAGTCCTTGTAGGCTATTACAAGATGTAACAAATTATAGATTTATCTTTTTGGTATCTGTTGATGCTGTCTGATCTGGAAGCCATTTCCCAAATGAGTTTTACAGGGCTCTGTGTAAACATTACAAAGTAGGTGATATCTAGTGTATTAATCTTGCCGTTTAGTTAGATCTCTGGGTCTCTGCATCTTTTAATAAGTCATTAGTCTGCAGTTGTTCTATTTCGATGCTTGGGCTCCTTTTAAACTCCAGCAGATTTCCCTTGCTCGGTACAAGCTGCGAGCATGAAATTAAGTTGGCACTGGCCCCTTGACAGCGCTGGGGCGCTTGCAAAGYGCTCCCTGCCCACGTCTCCTGGCAGCACAGAACAAATAATCAGCATCTCACCAAGGATGCACTCAAAGCAAAACATGACTTGGACAAGCCAGTCCCAGGAACCTGGGCAGCCCGTGATAAGCTCTGACCTAAGTGATGTTATTTCTCATTTTTCTGGCAATTTTTGTCACAGAAACAAGTGGAGGAAGAAAAAAATAAGACCCCGCATCCAGCAGAAGTGATCAGGAGCCAGGTGTCATCACTGCTCAGCCGTTCTGCTTTGCTTTTAAATAGCTTGCGTTAAATATCTTGAATTAAATGCAGCCGCGTATAATTGATTAAAAAAGGGGCTTGAAGCATAGCATTAATTACCAACTGCTCCTGTACAGGTTTGGATCTGCACTTCCCTCCAGCTCGGACCTTTCAAGCCTGACCTAGCTCCAGGGCCACTTACTTCTTGCCAGGATGTTCCTTTCACATATAAATCCCCAGAATTTCTCTAGAAAAGACAGARCAGCACAATGTTCTCCTGCGTGCCAGGCTTCTTTCCTAGAATAGGTCCACCGTTTATGTCACTGGATTTCTTTTATCAGTAATTACACGTCTTTCTTGAAGTAATTTTATCTTCCGTGCAACCCAATGAGTGACAGCTAAAATATAAGCAGAGCAGCTGCAAACATCCTGCTTTCCACTCGCAGTAATGTTGCTTACATCTTGCTAACTAATAATTTACAAGTAGATCATGCTAGGCCTTCGTACAGGGGCATCTAACCCCATGCTGATGTCAAATGGAGCCAGTTGCATGTGCAACCCTTTGCTCTCTTAAATGCAACAGTCCTGGGAAAACACACACTGAAACACCAGCCAACAAAACTGGTCCCTCAGGAAGAGGTATCAGGTGTTAATTTGTCCTCTGTCAATGACGGGGACCAAAAGATACCTGGAGCAATGCTCTCCATGCAAAGCCACACCAGGTAATGTCTCGTGGAGCTTTCCAGGCAGCATTTTGCCTGCTGGCTCCGCTGCTGTGAGCGTGAGTCATCCCCACATCCCCTGCCACCAGAGGATCCGCAAAGAAAAGGTATCTCCCCAGAGAAACCCCGTCAGATCCAATTAGCTTTATTACTGATGGCAAAAGTTCGGTGGTGTCAGAATGCCTTCCCCCGCTTGATTGGATTTAAAAATATAGCTGCTGCCTCATTATGCGAGTGACTTTTGTCAACCTCCACACAGAGCATTTTGCTTTTATCTCCCGGTAAGTAGCGGGATTTCTTCTAGCTGACATGGAATTAATTGCAAAGCTCCCACCGAGGCGTAAGAGAATCCTACWTATCATTACTATCCATATGACAAAGTTTCAAACCTTTCAGCGTCCGGAAGAAAATCGGCTCCGAGAGAGGCCCCACTCCTTTGGCATTGCGAGCCTGGATTCGGAAGTAGTAGACGGTGTCTAGGTTGAGGTCCATGATTTGGTGGGTAAGTCGGTCCCCGCTGATGGACTCCATAATCCAGTCATCAATGGGAGCGTTCTTGTCCAAAGTATAGAAGAGGATGTAAGCTGGATAAACACAGTCTCTCAGTTAGTTCTTACATCAAATTTAAGCTGTGTGCTTTATGAAATGCATACAGAATTCAGATTTCTGAACATTTAGTCTTTTTGTTTTAAAAAACAGTAGTGGCATGTCTCTTGATCAAAGCACTCTCAAGGAATATTTTGATAAGGAATTAATATTTGTTTATTTTGAGAACAAATCAAAAGTTACAATAGTCCCTTCTAAAATATAATATAAAAACACATTAAAACATTCTGTTACATGTACATTTGCCAAAAGCAGGTGCATGATTCAGTCTGACAGACATCACAAACCCTACGGTCTAAGTCTTTAGTGATTCAGTGCTCAAATGAAACCAAATGGCACTGGTGATGCACATTTGCTGGGGGCTCATGAGAAGCCCTGCAATATTTCTTGGCAACTTTATGGGGAAGTATTTGGAGAAAAAGAACAAAGAACCCAAAACTCAAAGTTTCAACAACTCAAAACACCACATGAATTTAGTACTTTCCCTATGAAATAAAGAAAAAACAACCTGGAGCTTAAATCCTGCATGGGCAGCTCACAACCGTCCTACCTTTGCAGGCCAGGCTGGTGTGCACAGGTAAATTTGAGTTTTCAGGCCAACTGTTTCATTTTAAAGCTCAGATTGAAGCACAAGTGTTTGCAATCAATACAAGTTCCTTGGAGTAAGCTTCCAGGCAAGTTACAGTTGGGAGAGAAGGAAAGTCCTGTTCTCAAGCGAAACACCTGTAGGTGAGGCCTCCAATGCCTTGGTGGCAACCAAACCTCACCTGGGGCTCCCCAATATCACAGAATCACAGAATCACRGAGTGTTCAAGGTTGGAAGGGACCTCTAGAGATCATCTAGTCCAACCTTCCTGCTCAAGCAGGCACACCTAGAGCATGTGGCASAGGGTGGCATCCAGGCGGGTTTTGAAGACCTCCAGAGAAGGAGACTCCACAACCTCCCTGGGCAGCCTGTTCCASKGCTCTGTCACCCTAACAGTAAAGAAGTTGCTCCTCACCTGGAGATGGAACCTCCTGTGCTCCAGCTTGTGGCCATTACCCCTCGTCCTATCGCTGGCCACCAGTGAAAACAACTTGTCCCCTTCTTCCCTACATTCTCCCTTCCTGAACTTATACAYGTTAATTAGAATATATCTGGCTTGTCTGGCTTCAGAAAAATCAGTCTGGTTGGTTCTCACGGGCTGGGAACACGCAGCCTGCACAAGCTGATCTAGCTCTGGCCTAAGCTCCGCTGCTCCCGAACCACAGAGCTGAGGGGTCTCAGTGCCACGTGGGCAGCTCCAGGGCCAGTCCTGTAGGTAGGCCTGGAAAACACATGGGAGCAATGCTGAGATTCCCGGGAATCATGAACACTTCCCATTGTTTTTCTCTGCAGCAGAGAGGGAAAGGCTTGGTGCGGGCAGGAAAACGTGTTGATGCACTTCCCTCCAGCTGCAGCCCTGAGTTCCTTCAGGCACAAGTGGAAACTGAACTAAGGGCTTCTGTCCTCTGGGGTGCACACTCAAGGATAGTGCTACTTCTTTTTGCACRTTTTTCCATTCTAGGGCTTTCTTTAGAGAACTTTGGGGTTACTCATCAGTTCCTCTGACCCTGACAAGTGAATTAATCAAGAGGAAGACATGACAGCCCTTGCCATATCCTAACACAAACATGCTTGCTCAAGCATTCGCAGGAATGGGGATTTGTTTGTTAGAGGCATTTCTGCTCTCCACACAGAGTTATTTTCCTTGCTTGATATGTCCAAGACAAATCTGACCACACAGGCAATAAAAATCCCTGGAGTTGTTCTTCACCTGAGTACTGCAACCAAGCAGCTGTGCATTGATACCAACTTGGGGGGTTGACTGCTCTTTCTGCAGAAAAACTCTATGCAAGTGGCCACCACTGAGTCACTTTACATTCCGGAAATCAGAAAAGTTTTTATTTCATTCAATCTTTTAGTTACGGGTAAATCAGGACCACTGACCACTCATTTTATTGCATTGACCATTGGAATGATCAGTTCTCTAAGTAACTAAATTAGGCTAATGTAAACAGAACCCTTTCAYTGAAATATCCTCCTTTTGGACATGGTCACTGAATGTAACCTCATTACAGTGTATTACAATCATAGTAGAAGTAAAATTATTTAATAATATATTACAAATATTATAATACACATATGCATACACAAACACACATGATTGACTGGGCGATTCTAATCAAAGAGTTGTTATTGTTGGGCAGTGATCAAATAGAAATATATCTTTATTTTATTGGCCATATAAAGTGGGATGCTTTCCCGGTRTAACTCACAATAGCTCACTTGATGTCTGTGAAGCCACACTGATTTTCAAYAGCTGAAAATCGGATCGAGTGCTCTTTACTTCTAATTGCTCACACGGGACATTATTGTGAAGCACTCTTGCTCTTACCTTTATATTTCTCAGTACTTCAGCAGTGTGTAGCTGGGATTATTAATAGTCCTGGTGACATATACACACTTGCTCCCACACAAAAAAAATATGCTGTAGAACTTGCCTAAGCCAATTGTTTGTAGAAATGAGACCATAATGTGCACATTCCTGAGCTTGAACAATATTTCTCCTAATAATTATATGCCTCTGAGATGTCCATTAAAGCCTAAAGTGATCATTTAAATGCAAAMTCTCAGATAGAACTCAACTATATTTTTCATACTAAATTAACATTATGGGCTTGTAATGCATGTCTTAATTAGGTGCCAAGGTTATATCCGATATTTTGGAAAATAAAATCCATCATTGTAAAGTAACCATTAAGTTCAGTTCTTGTCAGTCAATATTATTTTTTTCTGATCATCATTGCTTTAATTTGTTATTGTATAGCCAAATATCTACCAATAAATCCTACCATTATGTGCAAGTACCAAGCAACCTATCATTAAGTACATTACATATCGCATTATTGCCAAACAAACTACTTATTAGTCATTCCTAATTACCATTGCACAGCACATACCCTGAAATCTTTGCTTAAAATGCTGTATTTTTAACTTATATTAGCATTCTAAGCATTTAAAAATACAAGATTTATATCCACTAAGTTTTGAATGTTGCCGTTTCTCTAACTGATTGACTCCTTGACCAAGCTGGCTGATAAAAGTAGGGAGAAAAGTCCAATCAAATAGCTTTCTGGAAATGAACGGGTAGGTTTCTGGGAAAATGAGCAAAATGAAACGGAGAATGCAGGATAAGGTAAAGATTTACCAGTAATTTTTCCATTGGCTTCTAAGGGCGGCTGCCAGCTGACAATGACTGCTCGGGGCTTCCCCTCCCGTGTAATGACTGTCAGATCCTTGGGCGCAGACGTTGGGGCTGAAAAGAAGGAAAATCATTGAAAACAGAAGTTATCCACCTACCCTTGAATTCCTCACATTCTGGAGGAATTCCTCACATTCCAGGAATAAACTACTCGGAAGGTATTTACCACTTTCTTAGAACCTTTCAAATGCGGTAGCCCTAGATGCATTTCAAATATGTAACGTATGATTTGTCTAGAGGAGAAATTATAATAATGGCCATTGTACAAAACACTAAGTGGCAATATGTAAGGCTTTGCTGAATAGCACTTATCCTCCTACAGCTAGTATTGGTCCTTATACCTTAATAACCACTGCGGTATTCAAGTGTATCTAATACACTTTGTGAGCCCAATACATTTAATAACAGCAGTAGTAGTGTGGCTTCTCCATTAAGAACATCTTTATGTACCTACAAATATAAAACCAAAYGCAACTGTGTATGTTTACCAAATATATGCTTGAGTTTGGACATTTAGACATTTTAGACTGGAGAGCAAATTCTTAGTGTTTGTATATTTGCTATGTAGGGACAGGTGGCTGGTTGCTGAGTTGACGTGTGACTCACACTCAGCATTTGCTTTGCATTCCGCTGCCCACGAGGTCTTACACAGACACCCAGGTATTTTAAGATGATATCTTAAGACTGATGAGGAAGAAAGCAAAAAAGGCAATTAAAACAAGACAAAACAACAGCAACAAGAACAAAACAAGCGAGGAGTATTATCTTGGTACTGAGCTCTCTGCTCATTTATTTGCTGTGACACGGGCTGTTGATAACTAAGAGCTTATGTGTAACATAGCCTGGAGAACACAGCATACAGGCATCACATCATGTGTGTCCTGCCCATATTTCCACTATCAGCCTATCTGCATGTCTGAAGCGCTGCTCCAAAGCCATTTTATGAAGCATTGCTGGTAGATCTAGTTGGGTTACAGTGAGCTAAACCAGTCCAGTCTAAAGCAAACAGATGTCAATCTCAGAAGGAGAAACCTGCAGTAATCCAAAGGAACTGAGGAGAAGGGAACAGCCAGGCACATGCAGGCTCCCATCACAGGCCACCTGCACAGATCTCTCCTCATGTCTGCACCTCTTGAGCCTTCTAGAAGGAGACTCCCAAGCAACCGAGAAATGGACACCAGGAAAATGAGGAGGTGAGGGATCACCAGCTAATGCTTGTGGTCAGATAGGACTTGCCATAGCAATTTATGGATAGTATGTGCTAGGACAGCATGTTTGGTCTCATACGCTGGAGACAGCACCCAACATCCAACTTCAGCCCTGTCATCCTGCCTGCTGTCAGCCAAATGCCTCTTCTCAGCCTGAAGCAGACAGGTCTCAAAACAGGACTGTAGCCCTTGGAGAAGCCTCTTGAGCCCAGGTGACACGTGGCAGGACATGACCCCTGCATTACTCATGAGGGTTGTGCTGCCCTGAAAGGCTCCTCAGCTTCCACCCAGGCTCGCAAGTCTCCTGCAGTGTAGACTTCCGCACTCTGCTGATTGCCTTATGAGGCTCGTGGAGTGGCTGCAACCGAGCTCTGCTTCCAACAGATTGTGAACATGAGACACCCCGAGAAAAAAACAAAGCTTCAGATGGTTCCCTTAGCACTCATTAACACCCCTCGCATTGGCGCCGCTTGTGTAGGCAGATCTGGGGAAGAGACCTCGCTCGGAAGCTGCTTCGGAATCATGGGCATAACAATCGGTCCTCGCCCGCGTTGGTAACCTCTAGCGGCTTCTACACTGATGTTGATATGAACGTTTTTAAATAACAGGACTGGAAATCCAGCATTCAGAATGGGTACAAAAGAGGCAGTAAAGATCAGCAATGCAGGATGCCCTTAATTAACAGAGCTGCTCCATCAAGCTCAGATAATTGCACTGCAATCGCATGGGATGATCTAAGGACACATATATCCCCGCTTATTTTCCCTCAGTTAATTAACTGGTGGGTACTGTGGTTTTCATTAAAAAAAAAAAAACCAAAAACCAAAACCAAATCAATATTTACCAGCAGACTTTATTTGGGAGCTGTTGGCAGACCCTGATTTGTAATGGTACCTACAGTGCTCTCAAGGTCATTAGTCTCCCCTGGAAAAATATAGTACTTATTACATTGGTGTCCAAATGTATGCATTGCTATTTGCAAGGGCAGAAGAAGAAAAATATTGTAAGCAAAACCGCATTCTTATCCATGGACAAGGGAATCTGTCATGATACATAGGAAAAAACAAAGACTATRGAAAAACTACTGGTTTTTGCAGCATCCATCCTCCTCGTAAGAGAGGAGAGGCTGGAAGCATGGGATGTCACTGCCAAAAGGAGTCAAAAGGCAGGTTGCCAGGGTTGCGGAGCTCGGCTAGAATCGGAGCACGCAAAGATTTCTTGATCTTCTCTCTGCTCAGGGGCTGCTGCTCCTGGCTGCAGAGGCCTGGCAGTTTGGTGGAGTTACTTAAGGAGTAAATCGACCCTGCAATTTCGTAAGAGGGGCTCAACAGCTTATTCTAAATGTACAGCAAATTAAATGGAAACCAGCAGTCTTTGACAAAGACAACTGTGTGATCAGGGCATGTACTCCATTAATGCCTATACAGGATACATGATAACCAGAAATAAAGTGCAGGCTTATGAACTCATCCTTAATGCAATTATTTTATAAGCATACAAGAGAGAAAAGAAAAACAGACGTTTTTGAACAGTACAGTCTCACCTACAGAGACCTCTCAGTTTCCAGCCCTTTCAAGTATTTTTATTCCATCAAAACAGTGCTACCTGCAATATGCATCTGGTGTCTGTTATCAAAACTGCATTTAGAATCTGAAGCAGCTTGCAGGTAACAGCTTTTGACCTGAAAAATACCGCTGGAGCATCTGAGAATAGCAGCTATATAAAATCTGTAAAGTGTATTTATTTATTATAAGTATATTGTTAATATTAATGATGGCCATTTGCTGGAAATTAAATATAGATGCATAAAGACACTGAGCATAGGAAAGATGCCTTACTTGACAACTCAGAAGGACCTTTATGCAAGATAACATGTTCTGCAGAGGAGATAATTGTGTCTTTGCATTAAATAATGAAGAGGCTGAAAAGATGTCTCACTTGACTTTTCTTTTCTTGTTCTCACCAGAAAACTGTTTTAAATCACTAACATCGAAAGTCATACATTGTATTTATATGTATTTAGGGGCAAAACGTACACCGAGTTTCAAAATTTGATGGCTCCTTTTAACAATTTGCACACTAAGGTATATAATTTTAAGAAGTAAACAAACAAACGAGCAAAAAAAGCAGAAGGATTCCAGCAAGTCTTGCCRTACCTGCTTCATAGGTTGTGGCGTGTGCCGTCATGCTCCACGTGCTGGACCGCCGACCTTTGGTGACCATGACGGAGAACTCGTACATGGTGTTTGGCTTCAGGCCTATCACCGTGTGACTCAAAGCTGTCGTATCCGCTGACTGCAAAGAGAAGCAGGGAATAACATCTTTAAGGCAATGCTTTCTGCTTGGAACTAAGCAAAATACAGTCTCAATGAATGCCTTTTTTTTTGAGCGGAATAGGTCTATGGCCACTGCATACCTTAATGCAAMTATTTCTGGTACCATAAATATGATGCTAAACTTGGCACCTATAATTTAGGCAGTTAAATAAATTATTGTGATGCTTCCTCTTTCTCTTTTCCCAGACAAAGCAATTTGTGATGCATTTTTTTCCAAATGTAAATTGAAAGCTAACACTATGGCCTTTATCTGTGCCTATATGAGGAAAAAAATAGGAACATTTCCATAACTTAAATATTCATTTCCAGCTTTCGATGGGTTGCTTCTCAAAAGAAAACAAAAAGCTTTTAATATATCCTGATTCTGAGTGGAGACCCAGTGGAGCCTCTGTGTCCTGACCAAGACTTTCCAGTTCCGAGTTTAACACTTACCTCTGAAAGAGACGATGTATCTCCAGGACATATGAATAAAGATGTACTTTTGTATTGACAACATGCTTTTGCTTAGTTAAATATGTATTTTATATATATATGTAAAAACACACACACAATTATGTTATATAACACACATATATATATATATATGTATGATATATAACATATATATGACTTGCCGTCAGAAGACTAACTTGATGTTTGCACCTTTAAAGACGTTGATAAATATTTGCTGGTATTTACCAGTAATGCCATTCTCATCATCAAATGGAATGATTCAAAATCAACCAATGAAACCCTGATTAAAAATGGTAAATCCAGCTTCAAACACATTACAGAATAAAGAGATGATTTTCATGGCGAAGTGGGAGAAATTTTCTCTTGAGAAACATTAATGCATGTACAGTATAAGTCTGCATGGTATGTTGTTTTATCCTGGGTGCTCTGACATATTTTACATGCTATTTAAAAGGAGGGCATAATGCAAGACAAGATTTCATCATCTTCATGCTCAACCAAAGGTCCTAGTCCTTGGAAATGAGCAGTTTTCCAACTTCTTTGTTCTAAGACTTTGGCATAGAGTCCTCCTTATAGGAAGTCTTACTGAAGCAAAGATTGCACTTACAACTTAGGTTACTACTTGGCCAGGACAAAGATGGAAGAACCAATCTGTGAGCATATACAAAAAATATTCCTCAACTGAAGGCCAGATTTCAATATAATGAATATTAATTTCTCTGCAGAGTGTATTTTTGAAGACATGAAATGATTTGTGGCATAAAACACCGTTCAGCATGATTGAGGGTAACTAAATTTGATAGCTATCACTGGGAAAGTGCTCGGATATTAGACATGATCAGGATAAATTCACAGAAAAAAACAGTGGGGGTCAAGACTTCTCCTGGACAAAATAGTCTTTAGCAGAACATAAAGACATTGGTTTCTCTTTTGTAAAAAGCAAGTTATTTGTCTCCAACTGAGTATTTTTCTTTGAATTCTTTGCTCTATACCAAATATTAGCATTTCAATAGTCTCAAACATCCTTGAAGTTAGTATCACATAGAGATGAAGGGGATATATACTGTAACAAGTACTTTTAATAATGCCACACTAGGCCTGTTTGGGCCAGTTTTTACAAAGTAAAGTTGACAGGGCTAAGTTAAATTTATATATWTTTTTTTTTACTTCAATGGGAAAGGCTAAGACCTTCATTATGTTAGATTTGATGTACATTTTCGAAGCCATGGGAAACTTTAACAGGAAGAATCTGAAAAGAATTGGAGATTCAACCCAAACACAGATGCAAGTGGACATTCATTCTAACGGTAGATGCCAGGCCCATGGAAGCCTGATGCAAAGCCCTGGGAAGAAAATGGGAGTTTTTCCCATTGGTTTCCAAGAATATCATAATAGGCTTCACCTTGTTTCCTTGAAAACTGCATATGTCAAGAAAGGTAATCTTCTCTRAGAAGATTATTTTTCATTTCTGCTTCTGGTTGATTAAATCAGAGTAAACAAATCAGACTAGCTCATTACAGGTCTTCCCCAGAGTAGCCAATTAAAGATGATAGCAAAAGAAAGGTCAGCCCAGTCTCGTTACTCTCAATTCTCTGAACTAACAAAGTTTGAGAGCAAAGTTTTGCGCGAGCATCCCATGACCTCAGAGCTTTTCTGCACAATACAAGCTAACTCCATTCACACTCTTCCTCTTCTCTGGCTTCTCTGAAATTATCCCCGGTGAATTCCTCTGCTGTGACAATATTGCAGCTGCCCTGCAAGGTCCCACCGCGACTCGCTTTTGAGGACACCAGGAAAAAAATGTGCAATTGACTGTAAGCAACATATCATAATGCTGCTTTTTAGCTGGAGCTTTGATTTGCCTCCAAGAGTTATTTTCATAGCCGTGACCTGTGACTCACTGTGCTCCGCTGCTCTATATTCCTCATATTGTAGGGTACCGAGGTCTGTCTCCAAGTAGGAATCATATCAAGCTACAGCACTCAGAACACTACCCTGCGTTGTTCCACTGTCCTTAATTAGAGCAGAATTTATTACAACTGTTAACAGATCACAAGGATATGCTGCATAAGCATTCAAAATCATCGTTATTAAGAAGACTAATGCTGYTGTTCATCACGTCAGGATCTGAGGCTAGGAGAAGTATGGTAACGGGTCTGAGACCGAGGGAAGAGGATTCACTCCTTGCAAGGATGAGCACTTATTTCAATGCTACATGGTAGGTCAGTACCTGAAGCAAAARGACAGCTCGACTGTCTCCTCCCGGCCCACATCAATGCAGACYGGGAGCAATGCAAGTGCAATGGAGAGCTGTGGTGGCCCCTGGCCAGCGCAAGCACTGAGCTGAGCGCCAGCAAACCCGTGCAGGCAGCAGAAGGGCAAGGGCGACAGCTGAGAAATTGCGTTGGGAAAAGGGACCGAAGGCAGCACCTTTTCACTCTCACTTCCCAAAATTACATGAGAATGAGCTAGGAATTAGAGTCTGAGAGGCAGACGTGAAAGTATTTTGAACGTGAAAGAGGCAGACAGYCATCTTCTGGGGTTTGGCAAGGCTCAGACATGTACTGCAAGCTCCAAGCTGAGGAGATGCAGTGCTCAGTAGGGCACCATCTCTTGCACAGCCTTAATAAAAAGGGGTTGCATGAGCATGATGTTGTCAGAACAGAGATCAGGCAAAAACGGGCACACCACTTGCAGCAGAAAGCTATATCCAGAGSAAACAACTGAGTATGGACCAATATAACCCAGCAGGCAAGAGAAGACAACCCTAATGACACGGCATGGCAGAAGGACATGCTCACTCTGGGGCAGGTGGATTTTATATGATGCATTAAAAAGGTTGGCAAGAGAAAGGGTTTATTTTTCAAAACTAAGCCTGGAAAAGAGCCTAAACTCCATGCTTGTGCTCCTTGTATCACCATAGCTAATTGTTCCACTCTACCTGGTTTACTGCTGCTTTTATTAACATCAGGACTTGAAGAAAAAACATATATAGAAAGAAGTATTATACTCTGCTGCTGTTATACATAATCAAATTCAGAAGTTTTCTGATAAACTAACCTCAATTTGGGCTGTAGAGAATTATTTAAAATGGGCTGAATCTCCATATGGTATGGTTGGTATGGAACTTGCTATGCCATCCTATACATTACACTGCTGTATTGCCACATTCACAACGACCTAATTTAAATCTAATTGGTAAAGATTAGAGCTCCAGGCTGCCAGCAGTTGGCATGTTCAATGGAAATATGACATTCTCATGAAACCCAACACATAGGCTGGTACCAAGCAGTAGTTACTCAGGCTACTCTCCCCTTGCCTGAGTAATTGGAATTTTGGCTGACAAAGTCCACAGAATCACAGAATCACAGAATATTCAAGGCTGGAAGGGACATCTAGAGATCATCCAGTCCAACCTTCCTGCTCCAGCAGGCACTCCTAGAGCATGTGGCACAGGGTGGCATCCAAGCGGGTTTGAAAGACCTCCAGAGAAGGAAACTCCACAACCTCCCTGGGCAGCCTAAAAGCAAATTTAGAGTCTTTGCAAACAAAATAGGAACATGCAAAATAGCTCATCAATTCATGAAGTGTTAAAATTTCACCTTGTATTTCGCACTCGTGGAATAGCTGGTTCTCCACCGGACGGTGTAAAAGCGAACCTCGGTAGTCTTCTGGTTCTTGGGGACAGAGTTGTCTGCCCAGATGACCCTCACCGCGTCATGGGTAAGTGCAACAGCCTGGACACCTACTGGTGGGAGCATGGGGGTGGAGATATCTGGGACTGAGGTAGGGAAATCATCAAGCAAAGGATAAAAATCAACTTCTAATGGATCAATGGGATCTGGGTTCATACATCACCAAAAGAGCATTCCAAAGCAAATGAACAGGTAGTTCAACAGAAAGAAAAAGAAAACAAAACACAAGCAGCCACCAAGGGGCACACGTCACAATGGGTTAAATGCATGGCATTAATGAGGAGGAGGAACATGAGAAGAACAGAAAGAAAAGCATTAATGCAAAAGGAAGACACATCAACAACATTTCAGTTACATTATCAAAACTAACCAGCACTACGTGCTCTTTTCCAACATTGTTCAGACACTCTTGGGTATGCTTTGGTTTCCTTCACACAAGATGAAGCCAGAATGCACAATTTCTCCTTAAAATGATTTCCAATTTCTTAAAAAAGTAAAGCGCATGAATGATACATTATTAGAAACACCTACAGAGCAGAGAGTGCGTCATCCTCAAACCTGATTTTATAGATATAACACACACTCATGTCTGTAGGAGTTACCCTTTTCTCTTTCTCTGCAGCCTCCTTTGTTGTTTTAGGCTCCTCGAATGAACACATCATGCATCTGCCTAAATATTTGCTAGGCAAAACAGAACACAAAAATGTCAGTGCTCAAGTGAAGATCTTGCAGTTGTTGATTTAACAGTGTCGTCATGATAAATGTGCGCATCCACGTGCAGACATGTGGATTATCCTTCTCATCTTCAAGCAGGCTTGCTCCTTCAGGAATAGGCACAGTCCTTCCATCACGCATCCATGATCAGGTAGCCTTTGGAGAGCAAGAGACTGAACACAACGCTAAACGGTCATGCACGTGGCACACTGCTGAACTATACGATGCTGGTATAACAGATGGGGCAAATTTTGGTGGGCCTTAATACACAAGTGGTATTACACTCAGCTTATTTCATTTCMACAAGCCCAGTCCTGAGTTGCGCATTGATGCATCCAGTTAACTAGGGCTGTCAGGACAACTGTGGCCTTGTCCTCCCATTTCTTTGTACCTATGATTACTTCGGCTTATTGTGGCATGAGAGAAGAACCAGATTTCAGGCCAGATTCAGAGCATGGTTTTGGCAGACCGTTCCTACACCAGCCAGTTTAGTTAAGCACCTGAACGTCAGGCTAAACATAAACATGATCAAGCAGCTCAGTTCCCTTCAAGGGAACAGTATCTTCACTTCAGCTTCTTGATAGCATGTTGTCCTCTTTACAAGTGTGAGAAGGTGTCTACGTTTCACTGGGCTGCTGCTCGAGGACATATACATGAACAGAGACCTAAGCTTGAGACTTACTCGGGAGTGAGACCTTTTTCAGAAGATTTGAGACCTTTGAGAAGACTCATAACCACCATTCCTGAGACTAGGGCTCCTCTGGAGGATCCTGGGCAAGGGAACCCTCCAACTCTCCTACTGTAACCAAGCAAGTTTCCACTTAAGAGTAATGACGTCACAGGTCACAAAGGCTGGTGAACAGGAGAGATCCTCCGGAAGCACAGAATGACTCTATTATGGAATCAGGGGATAAAAAATCCTTTTATATATATATATAAAAATCTCAGCTTTTGCTTCCCTTGGCCAAGCTCTGGTTTATGGAATTAATCTCCTCCTGACTCGCATGCTGTTTGACCCTTATGCTTTTCCCTCTCTCGGCTTTGCTGTGGCTCTGCTTCAGAAGAATGAAGACCTCCCTTCTTTTCTTGCTCCCGCAGTCCAGGGACCGCCGCTTAGGGACTTCACTCCCGACGGGAGCACAGCAGCACGAGGCTGCTCACAAAAGCAGTGTGCTCAGCCCCACGTGGTTAATCTCGGGGCTAGCGTGAGCAGCGGCAGCTTCTGCACCGTCACTCCTTGCTACGGTGGTTATGACTTCCAAACAAAAACGATTGATAGTGGCCACTGCACAGATTACAACCTCACTCTGTTTCGTGTCTGGAGGTACTGGAATTCACCAGAGACCTGCTCTTTCGGTCTAGGTACTTCTGTGATGAGTTGAGGTTTAACCCTCTGTGGACAACCTCAGTCCTATGTTTTAAAAATACACTTACTGATTCCTTTTTTACCAATTATTCTAAATATCATTTTTAATGACAGTGTGTAAAAGATAGCAAGAGCCACCAATTTTTTTTTCCTTTCCATGAAACACTGCGCTAAGCAACTAATCAAAGCCTCAAGTCTCTCCTCATTTCCTCGCTGACAGATGCTGCAGTTTGCCTGCTCCATATGCACGTCAAACTCCTGACACCCTTTGATCACTCACGTTTCATGACTTCCTAACTCCTTATTTAGGACTTCAGGAGGCCACAGCCTTAGGAGTGAACGCCAGGGGAGACAAGGACGTTCAAAACACACAATGAGCCATTAGTGCAGCTGATTTCTTTTGCTGCTTCTTTCATCCAAGGCATTTCCACATGAAGCTTGAGCAGGAAAACAGAAGGAAACGGAGAAATCTGGTCCATGGTCCTGGTGCTTCTCTGGTGTTTGGAGTCCTGGTGCTCCAAAGACCAAATGCCCCCTGTACATAAAGAGGGATGGACAGCTGGATTTTTTTTTCCTGCCTGGTGAATTGTGAATTGATGGTGAATTCAATCTTCTACTAGGTTGACTTACCTATTTCTTGATCTGAACTGAAATTTAGAATTGCCTGAGGAAGTTGGGAAGGGAAGCAGCCCCTGATCCTGTGTTTGTGCAGAAAACTTATGACAGGAGTCTATGTGGATGGAGTTAAAACCCTTGCTTTAGCACGTGCTGCAGCTCCTTTCTCCAGTCATTCTCATACTGAAGAAGGAAGGTCGCCGTGCAGGAGATTATGAAAAGAGGCTAGTTTGAGCAAACAAATGGTTAGACTGAATCAATCAAGATAATTCAGCTTCTGAAACATGTCATTGCTGAAATGGGAAAGAGTGAAATGTCTATAATCCACTGGTGGCTGAAAATAGGTCCCTAAATACGTCCTCCATTTTCCAAAGAAGTTTCATTTGCCAGTATTTATGCATGGACATCTGTCGTTCAGAAACTGCAATCTCTTGACAAAAAGTAGCTTTTTGGTTTTTTGCTCTCTTCAGATAGCTGTTTTGCCTGTTGTGTAACTTCAGCTTAGACAACATTAGCACGCAACTGAGCGCCAAGGCACAGCCACGTGGACACGGCAGGGACACACACACATGGTTGCACCGGCTGGACCTCCGGCGCGGCCGCCCGGCTGCGGGTTCCCTCCGGAGGCGCTGGGAGAAGGTGCTGGATCCTCTCCAGAAGGTGCTGGATCCTCTCATGGAGACACCTGCTCTTGGCACCACAAGAGCAACGCCCAGCGGCAAAACCCAGGGCAAGCCCCAATACCTCCCCCACACCGGGATGTCGTGTCCTTCAAATGCACGCACAGAATCGGACCCCACAGGAGGACCGGGAAATACTTAAATACAATCAACCCCGAAACAAAAGGCTTGTAAAAACCCCTATGGATCCAGAGGACAATTCACTGGAGAAAGGTTTGATACGGCACACGTTACTGGCGTGCTCAGCAGCAATGACAGCCGTAGACTTTAGACATGAAGTAAAATCAACAGTTTTGAAACCAGTAGCTCCCTGGCAATATTATCTCTAATGTGGTTTGTCACAGTTGCCCTTGATCATAATTAATCTCCTTTTTTTCTTCTTCTGACTTTCCAAGATTTCTTATGGGAATACTTCACAAAGACATACGGAGTAATTTATTTTTTCTTTTTTTTTTTCTTTTTTTTTCCCTGCTTTTGAAGCCACCGAGCTGCCCTTTGGTGCATTTATTCCTCCTGCTCCACCCAAGTGAGATGGTCAGCGATTCCTTTTGCTCTCAGTGACGCAGCTCCCGTTCCAGGAAGCTCTCAACGCACTGGGTGAAGTACAGGAAAAAATGTCACCAAATGACGGTGTCACTCCAGGGGAGGGAAAAAAAAGAAACAAAAATATTAAACACTTTTTTTCCCTCAGTTCTGCACATTTAGTCCTTCTTTTGCCATGTCCCAACAGTGCATCTGTGTGAACCTGCTGCAGCTTCTCTTATCAATATGTTCCTTCCTCTTCCCCAGCCCCTCTGAGTGCTCCCATTAACGTGCACGGTGAGAACTTGTTTTTGAACGCACTCATTTTAATTGCAACTACTTCAGAAACGGAAGATAGGGAAAACAATTCCACCTGGGTCGCATTCACTTCAATAGCTGCTGTTCTAAGCTGCTCTCCGGCTATTTGCGTGGTCAGGGAGTCATGCTTCTCCCGAGCCAAGCCRTCCCGACAAGCAAGCGTTGGGAGCAGCCCATTACAGCCGCTGGGAGAAAAACGGCGAGCAACCACCAATTTCACTCCTTCTAGCTGCACAGCAGCAGAGGAACCTGATCTTTTCTCGCAGGGCCCTGGGTGGTTGCACGGCTCTTCGCTCTTTTTCCCCCTTGGGTTTTGGCCAAGGTGGGCGCTGAGCGAGGCGGGCGGCAGCAGCAGGGCCACTCACCTGTCATGGAGCGCGTGGTGGCACTTTCGTACAGGGGGACGCCCTCGCCCGCGTTGTTGAAGGCCTTTAAGGAAATCACGTAGTGGGAGCTCGGCTCTGCAGGGGACAACAGGACAAAGCRCACAGGGTTAGCGGGGGACGGGGGTCCGCGCGGTGCAGCGCTGCCCTSCACAAATACAAGGGGAAAACCAGCGGAGTTGGGCAAATACTTCTGCAAGATGAGCCACCATCCCTCATTTGTTGTTCTCTTCCCAAAATTTCCACTTACCTTTATTTTTGGGTGCTACCCCAGGCTTTCAAGAGATGACGTTTTTTGAATCAGCAGCAGCTTTGTCCAGGTAAGAGAACCGTGACTGGCTCCAGGAGCCTCCCGTGTCCCCAGAACCCATCAGTGATGGCCGTTTTACCCCTCCTGCACTTCCAGCACAGTGCCAGCGCTCCAAGAGCGACACAAGACACGCTGCAAATGTCACTGCTGCAGGTGACACGACCCCGATGCAGCCGGACGGGCCCTGGGGACACAGCCATGCCTTGGCCATCCATATGTCCTAGCTCATGGCAAGGCCACTCTAAATACCCCCTCAAATRCACCCAAAGCAGACCTTAATTTCTTTTCATTCTGCAGAAGCAAATCCCCACCGCATGAGGTGGGTGCTCACAGGCATGGCCAACGTGGGAGCTGCTGTCTCTCCACGCTTTGGGTGGAAAGAAGGCATGTTTGGGTGCAGGGAGGCACTTCATAGTGCAACGCTGCGAAAGACCTGCTGCACATTTACACATTTCACCTCCAGTGGTGCCAAAAGAACTCGGAGTGATTAACACCATTACCATAAACCTGGAAAGAATTAATAAACTTAGAGTACTTGCTGTATGTTACTAATATCCTTCCAACTCACATATTTTATACTTAATTTTAGGTCCAGTAGAGATGGTGTCATATTTGTCCAATATTCAGGTGACTTCTGTGCTTAATTTCTCCAAAGAGCTAAATTTTACAAAATGCCAAAYGAATGACTGGTGCATTAATAACTCCCTACACTAAGTATTATAYGGCCATTAATTCTGTCGGTATTCATTGTAATATCATGAGGGAATTATTTTGTATTCATAAAGATAMAGGATATATTTTCATATGATTTCCGCTGTCTATTACACTGCTACTTTTAATTTCTAATTGAAGTGCTGCAACTCCTAGATCCCACATTAAGATTTATTTATTGAGACCAAGTTGTTGTTTAGCTGAGTATTTTAACGATGTCCCATTCCCCAGTTGCTGCAGGAGAAAAGAAATTCACGGCACAAGTACAGCCCGACTCCATCTCTCCCATAATCTCTTTCTTCTGTCAGGCTCCCAACCATTGGGCCTAATTATCCATGCTGAAAAATGCCTGTGATGGASTTATGCCAGGGGTTAACATGGATCATTCTCCAGTGTATGTCCTGATAAAAACAGGGAATACTGAAGGATGAAGCTTTAGGACTCGAGGCTTGTCACGGATTTGTTGCCTGGCTGTTATCATAGCAGGCAAATTTTGCAGCATCTTGCTTTCCTTTTTCTACATATGCAGGAACACTTTAAAATAAATGTGCTCAGCATGTTGCTATGCATTTTGTATTTCTGCACTAATGGATGGAGGCGGTGAACTTTAAGCGGCTATATTTAGAGAGCACACATGGAGATGGGCAGTGGATCCAGCCTCTCGCTTTGTACCTCTCTGCAAGCCAGGCGACCRGCTCGGGCTCTCCCTGCAGCACCCTGGACACGGGCACTCCTGAAGGACAACCCACCACGTGCTAGGAGCGACATTAAAGAAAGGCATCATGAATCAGCCTCTAWCTGAGGGCTATTTCTGCTCCGACTGCGGCCGCACCAGAGACAGCTGGACTTCATACCTAGTCAAAAAACACCGTGAATTCCCAGTAATTAATAAGCAAAATGAGTGCCTTATTACTAATCTGCTCATGAAAAGTGCATTTGCAAGAARAGCTAAACGCGTTGGCAAAAATGTGATATCTACAATGGAAAATTCAAAAGCGGAGACTATGCTATCAGCACATCCCTCATTATTCATGTGCCTATACAGCACAATATATAGCRCACCAGATAATATAAATCAAGCACTCTGACATTTGATTAATGTTTATAACCGGAGAAGGCTGTATTTGTAAAATGCTAAGATTTGGAAGTGATCTGCAGCATTCTGTTAAAAACATGAAAAAATCAGGTGGTTAATTTGAGTTGCTGTTAACTGGAGCAACAAATAATTGCATTAGTCTCCTCCTAGATAAGAGGAAAAAGGCAATTTGCTGTGGTACAGCATTTGAACCGAGTATTAAGAATTGGATTTAGCCTAATACAATGAAAATATGAAAAAGCATTAATATTATTGTATGACAAAGTGTAGCTTTTAAAACTGCATTATATAYTAATACTACTGCTGGGGTCATTCCAGTGCTCTCCCTAGGAAAACTGCAAGTGCCTGGAGCGGGAGTTCAGCCGAGGAAAGCCTTTAAGTGTAAACTCCTAATAACRGCGGCTAATGCAACAAGAGACATTTGCCTTGCGAGCAGAAAAACGATGAGGAAGGAAGGGAGGAAGAGATGGTGGCTTTCAAAAAGGCTACTCGTGGTGCAGCTGCAAGAATTCAGAGGTCAAGTCTGAATTTTTCTCCGCCGACTGCTGCTCGTCGCAGTGAGGAAATCAGCTGTATCACAGTGGCATTAAAAGCTGCATTTGCTATTCTACAGCAGGAGCAGAACAGCCTTGCACGAGGAAGACTTTTTCTAGCAAGACTTTTTCTAGCAAGACGACTTTTTCTAGTAAGGGAAATCTCTTCATGCCTTTGAAGAAACCGAAGGAGTCTGTTTTAATTAGAGCACCGGCCAGGAACCCTTCGTGTCGATACTGGTGTGGAGCATCCTCTGGAAATGAAGTTGTGCTGTGAGGTTCAGTGGAAAAAAACAGAAGGAAAGAAGCCCAGGCTAAGCATGGACAAAATTAATTTCCTGCACTGACAGATGCTGCCCCTGGAAATAAATAATCAACAAATGGCAACTGGAAAAACTCATTCAAGATATCATGGTTATTTTCGTCTTTATGGGAAGGGTATAATTGTGACATCTCTATGGCCATTATGCACGGTCTTTTGACAAACACTGAGGTTTCACATATAATTTAATTTTCTTTTCAGCTAGAAATAAACACTTGACAACTGGATGTGAACTTCAACCCAAAGAAAACTCGGAGCCTTAAACAACAGTGGCATAAAGAAGTTCCAGTGCTTTAAGCTGATCCTCCACCTCAACTCAAAAACAAAATTTGAGAGGATGTTGAGCAGACGAGTGTGCAGGACGCTGAGCAACCAGAGCTACCTTGGAAACTAGCCCTGCTCCAAGCGAAGGCTTGAACCAGATGGTTCCATGGGATCCGTTCCACCTAAATTAACTGATGCTGATACCTCCCAGCACACACGGGATGCGGCCGGAGCCGTGAGCTGGTGGGAAGCTGTAAGCTACGGCACTAGGTCAGTCCTCTCTGCAACTATCACATTTGGCTCCACCAGAACCACACTGATTAGTGAAGCAAAGGGTGCCAATATCAGTGGAGGATTTAGCTGCAAGCAGAGCAGAAATACGGCTCCTTTCTAAGGCCTCTACCCAACTCTCCACAGGACAGGAAAACAGTCAAAATCCAAGTCAAAGCCAGTCAAAATTAGCTCAGACTACTACCAAAGAACAGCCTAAATTACCCCTGCCTGAGTCCATGGAAACATGATGCCCAGCAATCAATAGCACCAGCATCAGCTGCTAGATACAGAATAGCGCCTGGTAACATCAGCTTATTGCCGGGAAGAGGTAATCTATCAAGAGGAGAAATGTCAAATTGAACCCCACAGATATGGGTTATCGAATCCTGGGAAATGAAGAGATTACGGGACTTGAACACCATGCTCACAAGCAGAGCAGGTTTCCCGCGGTTGAGCCCTGAAGTGGAGCACTAGAGCTAGGGTTAGGCCTGCCTGGATGGCCAGGACTAAGGGAAAGCTTCCCGGGAAGTGTGAGCCTGCCTGTGCACATCGAGGAGCCCAAAGCACGTGTCCAACCAGGCTCTGCATCTTCGGGAGGAGCCTCTTCCCAGGGCAGCCTTGGGCAAACAGCAGGGCTTCACCAAGCTGCTGAACACACCTGTGCACTGCAGGCTCGCCAGGAGGCCACGCACACGGTGGGACATGTCAGAGCTACTCCGTGTCCCGCCTGGGGCCAGGACACCCACGGACTGACCCGGCCTCCTCTGTGCAGACACTTCCATAAGCGATGGACCGTCCACCAACTCCTCCCCACAGTGCCTTCACTCTGATTTTACACCCCAAAGGCCATTCCAACACACCCAACGGCCATGCAGTTAAATTCCTTCACAAAGAAACTCCTACAATGACATATTTTGGACAATCCCACACTTCCCCGGGGAGCACAGCTTAGAAGCAAGCTTTAAAATGGCACAAGGAAACCACACCGATCTTTCTTTAACATGCACTGCAATCATATTGACAGTTTTTAATGACAGTAGTGAAATATTCTATTAGAAGAGACTATCTCAGTGATAGTCTCCAAATGAGTTCAGCTCTCCTGTATTTTCAGCTAGATAAAATCTTAAATTTTTACTTCTTCTAGACACTTGCTGCCTCAGCAGTGGCTGCACTTCAGTGGTCGATGAACAGATCATCTTTGCCATTTCCTTTCATAGAGCATATCCCATCATTTGGAAATCTGCTTGAGAGGATTTACTACCAAAATGACCAAAATTGGTATCATGGACCTCACATATTACTTTCAGTAATACATGACAACTACCAGGAATGATCCTATGTCCATCACAACCAAAATTGCCCATATTTTCATCTACTGGTAAACGGAGCAATGTATAATGAGAAAGAGGAGCAGCGCTGAGTTAAGCTCAACTTGACAAGCGCTGCAAAGCTCACGTGTCCATCCTCCACGCTTATAACGGACAGGCCTAAGGATCTTTTTGGAGGAAGGGAAGCATGAAATTTAACTGTCTGAGAATTGCTAACCACCAACCTAACTATTCAGACTCT